AACTGTAACTGGGTAAAATTTCCGAATTTGGGTTGTCTTTTTGCTTTGACTCATACGTACTTCATGGTTTCACGCGATTGGCCCAATTGGTGTTGTGAATAAACCCGTTCTCAAGTAACTGCATAAACCTACACACCTTTACATAGAGATCCTCATTGAGAGGAGCTACAGCGCTGGACAGACTCTCCGGCTTGCCGCGCAGCTGCCGGTAGTAGAACTCTGTGCCTGCCATGAAGACGCGCAGGGTCGTATGCCGCCGTCCACGCATCCATGCACCGTCCATCACTGGCACATGGTTCATTGTCGTCAGCACTGTGCACAACGGGCAGGTGGGAAACAAAAACTTTGGAATGGTGCAAGTGATGTGATCGAATCCTCTTACCGTTAAAATCACACTTTCATTGGCTGTTTCCGCTTCTGTACACCGGCACTGGAACTAGTCAAAGAGTGAGTGAGCAGTGAAAGTAGAGGGCAAGTGCCTAGACTGGGAATTGATCATGATACTACACGGGATGTGCATCATTTACTCCTCCAGTCTACCATACACAATGCCCCTAAAATACATCCGACGGTTTTACAGCCCGGATGCATATAGGGATGCACACTCAATGTCTAGCTGTTTCTGATCGTCAGACCTAGGATGGTACATGTACTGCCCTGATGCACTTGCATGTACAGTCAGTGGAATATATGTTACACTCAGTATATGGTCACGTCTCTATATATGGTCACAGCTCTATATATGGTCACTATATCTCTGTACAGTGTACAGGCGACATGTGCACCGCTGTACATGGTCACAGATGGAATACAATGAAGCCTTGCTTTCACAGATGGTGCTGCAGTATGAACCAGGGATCCCTGCCTCCTGCATAGGCCATATAGGGCTCCCTGGTATGAACTCGGTCACCATAAAATGCGCAGGCTTTTTGATTTGTTGTTTTCAGTTCCACTGATTTTCTTTCTTGTTGCCATCGCCAAGACAATGTCACAGATGGTGCTGCAATATGAACCTATGATCCCTACATAGGGCTCGCTGGTATGAACGTCATGAAAGCCGCAGTCTTTTTGATTTGTTCTTGTTTACAGTTTGACTGATTTTCTTTCTTGTTGTCTGAGCTTGTTTTACTTGTAGCTTGTGAAGTTGAAGCAGTTATTCTATTATCCCCTGCTATATTTTGCTATAATATTTTAGGTTGATCTGTTCGTATAATGTAGTTTGAAGGTGGAAGAAGAAGCGCAGGTTATTAGAGTTGGAAAGTCCATACGAAGTGCTTCAAAACTAAAGATAGAAATGCGGAGTCATTTTGGATTTCCTTCTAGGAAATAACTACAGTGTGTTTGGTCAAAGCACAGAACCCAAGTGGGGTGAGGGGGAAATTGCGGAGCACGTTAATGCGACTGAGAATGTTCACGTCGAGGAGAGGTACATTGTGTGTGTGTGTGTGTATCGTTACCCCACGCAGCAATGATTATAATTATGTTCTGAGTTGTGACCACATACAATGTACTAGTACGATTTCAGTTAGCAATTGACCACATCTAGAGTGGCCATGGGGTGTGTAGTAGCTGGAAATGCAACTCCTACAGGTGCATGTGTGTGCTGTCTGCAATGTTATTGTGCCCATATATAGACAAGACACATTGCATATGACCACATATAGAGTGACCATGTATAGCGACCTTTGAACAATTTGACCATATATAGAACAATGACCACATATAGAGGATTGCTGGGCTACTGAGTCCTACATATATTTAGTTTGCCAACTAATTATTACGTCTGTTCTGCCCAACAAGCCTTGGCTTCATATCACACACTGTGTCTTACACAAGTGTGAAGTCTCCTGCACCAGATGCTCCTTGATGTAGATATTGCGAGATCCCTTGGGCAGTCTCAGAACGGTGACGTTCACTGGGTCACTGTCCTTGGTCCGGTACAAGTACTCCACCTTCTGGCACGTGCCACCAGTGCCCTTGCAGACACCGCAGCGGTCGTAGCGTGCCGTAGAATGCTGCACGTAGTCACAGCCGATGGACTGCACGAGAACACACAACATTACAGACATCTTACGGTCAGATTGAACGGATGATGTCGTCATCTCCCGGCTCATTCACCAAATGACGGAAGTGCATGTGGGGTGCATTACAAGATGCCGATACACCTTGCTTTGAAAGAGAATGAAGACGGTGACCTGGCTATGGCAACCAAAGTGTCCTTACAGCAGGTGCTGGTGTGTCAAATTAGGATGCAAATGTAGTTGCTCCTAACACATGTGCAGATGTTTACGAGCTCGTAGATCACCCAACTTTGGAGAGCTTGCATGCAACACCATAGCCAGTATACTGTCTAAGAGAACAGCAACCTACCACACACTTCCCGCTGATGCATCGATCGTTGTATCTATAACTGCACGGAGTACCGTCGGTGGCCAGCTGATCGATGGTGACGTTGTGCGTGGACTTGCACACCAGTCTGCAGCGAGTGGCTGCCAGATAGCCAGGGAACCAGGTGGTGTTGCGCAGGTTCTTGGCCTCGCCGGCTGCGCGACACTGGTCCAACAGGTAGTTGTTGAGCTGCGGGCACTCTTGCTGATTGCACACCTCACGCTTCAGCCAAATACCATTGCATGTGCTGATCTCCAACTTCTCTTTCGTGCTGCACAATCAATGATGCAGCAACATCACAAAATCAAGCAGTTGTTGGGGCCTATGATGTAATGCTTTGTTCAAACAGCCAGCCAAGCAACTGGTGTCTGATGCACTACTGGGTATGGTGTGGAGCGCATCACATGTTCAGTGCTCAGGATTAGTTATAGTCATCCTCAAGTGGCAAAGGACACATTGGACACATTGACATTGTGCATGGGATCCACTATCCAGTGTGCTATCCACACATCCCAGGCAGATTCCATTGACATTGTGCATGGGATCCACTATCCAGTGTGCTATCCACACATCCCAGGCAGATTCCATTGACATTGTGCATGGGATCCACTATCCAGTGTGCTATCCACACATCCCAGGCAGATTCCATTGACATTGTGCATGGTATCCACTATCCAGTGTGCTATCCACACATCCCAGGCAGATTCCATTGACATTGTGTGTATGTGCACATATCCCAGGCAGATTCCATTGACATTGTGTGTATGTCCGGGCACCTGTAAGGTGACAGTGGCAGCAACAGCAGCACGCTTGGACATACCCTTTCTCAACGCAGTAGCGTGTGAACACTTGTATGCCACCGCTGCATGGCCGCGAGCAGTTGCCTTTAGGATACCAGGGACCCCAGACGCCGACCTTAACTGGCGGTGTGGTGGGAACAGGCTGCGTGGTTGTCTTCACAAACGAATCTCTTACACACTGGCCAAGATGACACACCTGCAGTGCAAACACACACGCACACAGTGGAACATGACCATAACAACACAGCACAACATCATGGTATCTGTTAGTACAGTAGATAAGGCTGGCTTCTGCTCCAAGACAAGCCAACATGCCTCAGCATTCAAGGTTCATAAAGGTTGTGTAGTACATGATCCGGCATGCTGTGATAATAATTAAATGTGTGTCCTGCCTCTAACTGCACACAATGAGGACTTTCCATGGACAACGACCAGCTTATACAGAGCACAATGAGGACTTTCCATGGACAACGGCCAGCTTATACAGAGCACAATGAGGACCTTCCATGGACAACGGCCAGCTTATACAGAGCACAATGAGGACCTTCCACGGACAACGACCAGCTTATACAGAGCACAATGAGGACCTTCCACGGACAACGACCAGCTTATACAGAGCACTGGAACACTATGAGTAGCACTGCACACACACTGTAGACAAACACCCATTGGACTAGACAAACACCCATTGGACTAGACAAACACCCATTGGACTAGACAAAGACCCATTGAACTAGACAAACACCCATTGGACTAGACAAAACACCCATTGGACTAGACAAACACCCATTGGACTAGACAAACACCCATTGGACTAGACAAACACCCATTGGACTAGGGACTGTAGTTAGTAGATATGTGTGTGCATGCAACACCGCGGCCTAGCGCACTCACCCATCCACGACGATAGCCACATTTAGTTCCAGAAGCTGCCGGTACATTAGCCGTGCGGCAGTTTGAGTTCGTGTGTCGGCACCACAGCTTCTGGCATACGTCATCTCGTGCGTATGAATAAGGACAGAAGCGCGACGCTGTGCCCATCCACAGTTGGCACTGCTGATCCAGTCCGAAGTGACGACCCACCAAATCATACGGCTTGGACTTGACCATGACTGGGACATCTCGGAGACAGTACGCTGGTGTTGATCTGCACAAGTGAAGAAACAAAGCTGGTGGGTTAGTATCTTAGTGATTCATTGGCACTCTCTCGCTGTCTGTTACTGGTTCACTGTTACTGCAGGGTGCACTGTTACTGCATAGTGCACTGTTACTGCATAGTGCACTGTTACTGCATGGTGCAATACTCTATACATGCACCTGGTGACCATGACTACATTGTTCTCCTCAATACCATCACCACACTGTGTACTGACTGCAATGCAATGTCCTGTATGACATCATGATGACATCATTGTTAATTCACGGCTAAAGTTTTTATACAGCCACCCTGCGCTCTGCCTTCCGGCCATTTTACTTTGAAATTATCTACTTGTCAAGTAGCCTCGCAGTCACCTTACACATGAACAACATAAGAAATTCCTCCGGTATACATGGACAGGCCCCAGATGGTAATCTACAGCAATCTATTAGAGCCAGGCGCTCAGCAAAACAAGAACAGGAAGTTGTTCAAGTAGCAACACAATACTAGAAGACAATATTGCCGGCGTGTGTAAGTATCAAATTTACTCACGCTACAAATCGAGCAACCCGTGTCTTGCTGCACTGTGACCAGAAGTTGATTGACCCGCGACCGGCAATAGTGGGACTCATTAAGTAGCCCGAGTTGCGACATCCATTCTCGCCGTCGTGTCGTAGACTCAAGCTGTGTCCGGTCTCGTGTGCTAGGACGAAGCCCGCTGTCAGGCCATTGTCGTACACCACGCTGCACATGCGGTACTTGAAGCAAGCGCCCGACACGTACGCACGACCTGCAGCACAACCACGTAGCGGCGTTGGTCACAGCCACACAACACATAGCCTTCAGGATCACATGATTTATCGTATACAATTCATCATCACAATTGTACAGACTCTAACTGGCATCTCAATGTGGATGATTGTTGCTTTGGTCTACTTGCACCGGGGCTCATTTTGCATAGGAAAGACGACTCGGGACACCACTGAACAGATATATAGCCTAGAGCAATAATGACGAAAATATACTTAGTCTGTGGTCAACGTACCCAACTCATCACAGCCACGATTGTCGGAGTAGGAGCAGAGCTTCCACCTGAATATAGAACACAGTGGACAACATTATCACAACATAAATCAGCGACTGTCTGGTACAGATCACCCTGCTAGATATAGACTTTCCACACTACATACTCAGATTCTGATCATGCGGCACCAAGCAAAATTAATCTTAATATTAACGACCAAGCTCAGCGGCAAGCAATCGTGGATTCATTCTGGTCTAATATTAACCCTATAACGCCTATAGGGCGGATATATCCGCCTGACTGTACAGTGCATGCTGAGGTGACTTCAAACTTTCGCCATTCAGTCAATCCTTGTTCGAATTAAACAAAAGAAAGGTCAAATCGTATCAGAAAAGCCTCAGCTGTCGGCTCAAAAAAACCCGAAGACGATCCAAGGTCATGGCGCAGAGTTATGACACTCGAACGAAATTCGCGTGGGTGAGTCAGCTCGCGCAGCGTAAAATTTGAAACGCCAGCAAGGGATTTTCCCTGACTCGCTGGCGACGCGTGCACGACTGGCATACGCCATTTTCAAGCTGCATTTTGAAGCTCTCTCCTGCAAAAAAACTGACCGTTCTGCGATCGATATTGTTGAAATGGCTGAGAATTTAGAACCGCGCTCGCAGGTCTGGCATTGGAGCGCTCAGATCGCGCTGCGGCGTTACTCCTACGACTCTATCAATTGCGAACTGGGTATGGCTGTGTTCGTCTTGGAGAGAGCTTTCCATAGAGCCCGAGATTGTTGGAATACTCCAAAGGATATCGAAATTACAGTCAGATGAAAATGTGAGTTTGTGAATTTCATGCGTCTGCTGAAATAATTTAGGCTCTAAAGGGTTAAACTGATAGCATGCACCCGATGTGTGGAGAATCATAGAAATCATGAGTGATAATAATGATCCACCCTCAGAAAAGTATATTCTTGTAATGAAACAGAGGAGGGTACGTACCCTGTTATCAGGATGGCCAGGTCATAGTGGTCCTTGCTGGTTTCGTACGGTGTGTACTGCGTGCGTAGCTGCCACATGCAGAAGCTGCTCAGTGTCTTCTCTGAATGATGTCCAAGGTTCAGTCCAGCCTAGTGGAGGATCAGTGCAGGAACAGTATTCAGTGGTGCATACCACAGTGAGAGTTCAGACTAAGAGCAATAACTCCACGCCATCAGTGCCATCTTTTGTTGTACATGTACATGATGAAGCCGCATACATTGCCCATTTCTATCTCCTCATAGTCACAAAAAACTATGCAGAGTTGAACGATGCACACCACACACACATGAGTTACACTAATCATTGAGTAGATCACAGACACAACCCAGTTTTATAACAAAAAGGTGCCGAGGAATAGTTTTCTTGTCATTGCAACTGGCTATGCACTTCCATAGTGAAGCCTAAAAGCGATGAGTGGTGTTGTTTGGACAATAGTTGGAGATCACTGTTGCATATTTTGTGTCAAGGTATTGACACACCTCAGAACTTAGATGTCTGGTCCCGGTGGCCGATTACCAACTATGCTACATCACGAGAACACACATGCACATGCGTGCACTGCACACACACACACACACACACACACACACACACACACACACACACACACACACACACACACACACACACACGCACACACGCACACACGCACACACGCACACACACACACACACACACAAACACACAAACACACACACACACATACACACCACACACACACACACACACACACACACACACACACACACACACACACACACACACACACACACACACACACACACCACAACACACAACACACACACACACACACACACACACACACACACACACACACACACTCACTCATCAATCTCACCTCGGTTCTATTTAGCAGAAGTATTTTCGAGACAACAAAGGCAAGATCCACATCCAGCCGGTCAACGTTGAAGTGAAGAGAAGCCTGCAGTCACAAGCCACCACATGTGTACAGACAGACAGACATGACCAATCTAAGTAACACAACTCTCAGTTGACCGTACTAAGTCTTGCACAACCACAACCAACTCAGTTGTACCGGAGGCCACTGAGCAGAGACGGATGAGAAACAGTTGGTAAGAGTCTGTCCTTTCCCAGAAGAATGTTGAACTGAGACCTGGTGATGAGCCATCGCTGGTAATCTGGTGATGAGCCATCGCTGGTAATCTGGTGATGAGCCATCGCTGGTAATGTCGCTTCGTGCCAAGCACCAAACAAACAAACCCACTATTACTACCCACACCACCACACACATCACACCTGAAGTTATGATGGGATATGGGACGTTAATACCATGGCAACAGAGTCATGTGATGCCCGGTTAGAGGAGGACTGCATCAAGCCATAAACAGCAGTGAGCACAGTACAGCGCAGCACACTCACCAGATTGGCAATTGCCAGCATGTAATTTCCAGCATGCGTGTTGTCACGGAACTTGCGACGCGAGAATAGCATGTTGTCAGCCACGAGCATCACCTCCAAATGGTACTTCTTCGTGTTGCGTTTCCGACGATCCTTTCCAGCGTGGTGGTCGCCGAGAAAGATTTCCGTCATTTCGAAAACTGTTTCGCCTGAGACTTTCTTCAGAGCTCGTTCCACCAATTGAAGGTCCGCGCCCTCGATGTCGACAGGTTGTTTAGCGAGTTGGTGCTCCGCTGTTGGGCAAACACAGGGAATATGACATAAGCAGTGGCTTGTATGCAGAATGCCTCCAATAGCATAGGTACTGAGATCGGTAGTACAAGTATCAGAACAAATATCGTACGTTGTACATGTAATATCAAGAGTACATAACTCCCAAGAGTGTGCAACTGCCTGCACACCCTCTATACAGTGATGCGACGGCAGAACTTCACATCACGTGACATGGTTCAAAAGGTTATGCTGGCAAACAGTGCAAAGTGACCACAAGAGAGTTGTACCCAAAGCTGGGCTGCGTACAACCCTGTATCTATCATGCACAGAGTGCAAATAATGTGTACGGGTTCATCACGTGATGTGAAGTTCTGCTGTCGCAGACCCCATAGCTGGAGTTGCACACTCTTGGGGGTTATGTACTCTTGGTATTATCATGCAGCACACAAGGACATTGATCTGTTGCAAGTGTGATGAGCGACTATCAGGGCAGCAGATTCACAACACACAGAGTGCCTGGATCATAGCTGATGTTTCTGCAAGCTGATCTGCAACACTGACCCTCACTCCAAGCTTACCATTGACGTGGCAAGATGCAGTATCATTGCCATGGCGAGTCTGCGCACCAACGTCACGCCGGTAGACAATGTGTGGTTTTGCGTCTGGCTTGGAGTCGTGTCGATAGTGCGCTCTGTCGGCATGGTGGAGATGGTCGGGTAGCGGATGGATCATAAAACTACCACCGTTCGGATCATATACTGTACCACTCTAAAAGTGCCGGAAAAGATAAATATACCAAACATGAAGGTAGGAAACAACACAACACACACACACACACACACACACACACACACACACACACACACACACACACACACACACACACACACACACACAGGCAAGCTCAAATGCACAGTGCACATCATACAGATCAGTATGGCTGGGTGTAGCAACTACAGGGCAGACAATTGCTGAAGTAGGCGTCCAGTATAGAAATAAATACATGGTCACCAGCACCATGACAACTTACCACTCCGTCACATGTGCTAATTGCCACTGGCGAGTTGTCATGTGACACAGCGATGCCATGGTGATGGCATGCAAAGTCATCACTCAGCGGCAAGGTGCTGTTCTTGCCGTCATGGTGATGTGCGCTAACGTAGAATGTGGCTGGCATCAGACGCTCGTTAGGTGCCACCTTGACGTGGAAGTCCTCGCCGAGTCCGCTAAACTTGACGGCGATCACCGGCAATTCGATGTGATCTGCTGCTGAGGACGCAGAGCGCCGTGACCGTCTCGAGTCAACATTATGTGAGATGTATTCATCGGTCTCTGGATGTACTAGCCACGGATATACGATCTCATGGTGCGGCACTGTAACATACAAACAACGTACACGGACGCATACACACAGACACACACACAGACACAGTCAGTATGAGTCCTGAGGGCAAGACTTCCGGGCCAAGTGCGGTGGAGGTCACTTAGGGCAGACTGTACACAATACTGAACAGGCACTTGAAGGTGGAAATATTCAAATCAAAGTAGAAAAAACAATCAAGGAGTCATGAACTCGCCACCACTTCCTCAGATTACGCTCATTTCTACTGCATATCATTACTCACAGCCTGCCAAGCGGCACCTGTACGCTATGCAAATAGACTCAGCGGACTGTGCTGCAGGTTAGGAGTGCTTTAATACAGAGAAAGATATTTTTGGAATGCTGGGATTGTGAGCGCATTGTGATACGCTCACAATGCACAGTATCCACTTCCTCCTTACACTAGAACTGGCCACATTCTCCGTACGATGTTACTGATAGTGAGCCGAGTTTCAGGTTATGATGGTGGAAGTAGTTTGGGAAAGTGTGCCACAAGTTCTCCATGTGCAATACTCTCATATTCCATGGTCACATCTGCTGTTGTTCTGATCTGGTCAACCATCAGCACCAGTACAACCATCAGCATCAGCATCTCAACTGGTTCTTCACTTTCTGTATCACGTGTTGTGGATTGAACAATAAAGATGATGTACTGCCAGCACCGCCATCAGCACTACCACCACCACCACCAGGGGAGGGGGGGGGGGCATTGCAGGAGGAGGCATGCAACAGAAAGCATTCTGAAGTTGGTATCCCGGCCACCAAGTCAAAGTGAAAGTGTCACATTGATTGGCAGGAGCCAGTGAGAATGATCAGAGAAGGAAGTGCTTGAAGTACTAACCATTCACACTGTACCAAGCACAGTAAACAATTACAATGGCCCAAGCTAAGCTAAATTATGTACTCCTACCCAACAAAAGGGGAAAAGCCATGGCGTCAACAGCCCAATAGACCTCCATGGAGCCAAACTCAGCAGGAAAACACACCATTGTGATGTGATCTCTTAATCAGGGATGGAACACTGCTGAGATGGACGGTGTTGGACCGATAGTCACAGGGAGTCTTACACAGCATAAGAGGAGACACTTGTGGCCCTACACACATTCCAACTGACGACCACCTACTGAGTCTCAGTGTCATACTGGGAGGAGGTTAGTGTGTGTGTGTGTGTGTGTGTGTGTGTGTGTGTGTGTGTGTGTGTGTGTGTGTGTGTGTGTGACGGTCAATTTTTCAGCCTTGCAAGCTGTTGAATGGCGCAATCCCAGCACAAGTTGCTATGGCTTCTGCTGTAGCATTGCTATCATCGCCTCCGGCGATGGGCGTCGAAAGGTCAAAGGAAAGGTGTGTGGGTGTGTGTGTGTATTGCCAGTTGGCATTTTCATTGGCATTCCAGTGGTGTTCAGGTTGCCCCTATCCATAACCAACTCACTACCTGTATCAGGAGTCGTACTGGGCTCTTGCTAGGAATGGATGCATGTGATTGTGTTGTTAAGGGAATGTGTACAGCCTTGGCAGGCTGGCTGTGCTCCTGGCACATGTCCTACAATGAGAGCAACATGCCAGGCTTGAGAGAAGTCCATACTCTACATATCGCCCTTGCTTATGCACATATTTCCAAGTTCAGTATTTGCGGTTTCAAATGTCCCTGTACATAAATGTACTCTTGCTCGTACTTATAGGTACAGCGAAAGAGTATGGGATAGTTCCATGGTTAGTACAATACTTGTTCCTACGTTTTAAACAGTACCTAATCATTCGTTCCCTACACCCTACACCCTTCTGCGCCTATATAGCCCAACCATATGGTGTGGCCATTTAAGAACATTCCACTAGGCCAATCAGGAAGAGCACAATGGATCCTAATGGCAAGCCTAGCAACTCGGCCTATAGGATCTGGCTAGGAGAGAGCAACTGATGGAAGAGATCCTTTGGAAAACAAAAGCCAGGACATGATTCATGCCAAAAGTCTTCTGCACGCAAGCTCCACACAGGCTGCCATACATGGCGAAGGTGAGAGCCTGTGCCAACCAGTGCCAAGTCCCTGTGTAGCGGTCATTACTACTAATTGCACTCATAGAGTCATACACTTCTGCATTCTGAATAACATTGTCAAGCTATGGCAGTGCAGTGCAGGCCACACTGCTAGAAACAGTCAAGGTTAGTGGGACAGGGATACAGGGTAGGGCAAACCACTACCACACCATGACACTGGGGCCCTTCATCCCTATAGGCCTACATATCATCCTGACAGGTGCTGGGTTCATCCAGACACAAGAGGCACCAGCTAGTGTTCGGGCAACTGATCACAGCAGACTGACTGGAAATAACCAGACCCACTCTTTCCTGGTTTCTTTCAATACTTGCCTAGAAGATAACTAGCTGATAAGACAGGGAACTTAGTTTAATAGACCGCAGACAGAAACGTCTCTTCAACACAAGGCTAATTAGTAGATAGAGGAGGAGATAAAGTTTGAGATAATCTCCGAATGACGCAGTAGTACAGTGTATTCAGTCTAGTCAGAGCTGCGCCTGTAACCCTAAACACCTGTAATCCTAAACTCTGACCTTGTCAGTCAGAAACAAACCGTGATCATCTTGCACGGCTGAAAGCCGCTACTGAGTCGGCACACTCCTGGAACTTGGCCCTAGACTAGGCAGTCACACTCGCTGGCGCGTGTCAGCACAGCTAAAATAGCTTTCGGCAGGTGGCTACTTCACGAAGCAGGCCGAACAAGTCGGAACTGCTTGAACAATGAGAGGTCGTGGAGTAGACTAACTCACATGCCAACTCCTCTTGTAAAGCCACACTAGTATTGGCAGTACTGCAGCCAAGCTACCCTATCAACAACAGTACACTGCAGTACACTGCAGTACATGGTACATGACTAGGATAGATGAGAACCTGGGGAGATGTTTCACCAATAACAAATTTCCAGGGTCTACTCAAGAGGACTGCGGTGTACAGTGGGTTTGTACAATGGGTACAGACTCAACCGTCACTGTCATGCAGACAGTGAGACAGTGCAAGTTGCGAATCCGTGCGTTCAAGTCCCACTAACTGATAAGACCAAGACAGCATCTGACATTTGTCTTGCAATGGTTGAGAGTAAACCAACTTGGCTAGTCAGCAAGAAGGAGGCCATCTTCACACTGACAGGTGCCCACAGTGAAGGAACAAACAACATTCGCTGGAACAAAGTGGCCAGGACCCAGTTCACCCTGTCCCCACTGTTCCATGCTGCTGCTCCCCGCAGAGATGGATACATTCGGACCATCAATCATCTGGGCCAAGGCAGGAAGACAGTCAGAGCAAGGCCAAGGCCATGCATATGAACACTTTGAACAGAAGCAAGAGCAGCTCATAATAGCACAAGTAACTGTGGCCTGATCCTGACCTGTGTGCATACATAATTTCTCCAAGCTGGCATTCCCACAGCAACTCAAACACGCAAATTGTTTTTCTTCCAAGTCCGTGTACTAGTAATCCATTTTACTGTTAATAATTACAGTTCAAGTACTAAATTGTAGATTTGAACTAGCCCTGATGCCCACCTACACTACAGTACTTTGTCCCTGGAAGTACAACGACCGTCCCACTGACTGACTGTCATAACAAAGACATGATGACCTGAGCAGCAGTGAGCAGCAGTGCACTAGTGGGCCATGGGATGATGATGCGTCACTCTCCAGCTACTACAGCTACGGCCACTTCAGCCTTCACTAGACATGGCCTCACGTTTCCTGGCCCCATTGTACAGACTGAGACAACTGGCCTAGGGAGGAGAGATAGGTATGTCAGGAAAGGACAGACTTAGGAGCAGTGCAATGTAGTTATTGCTTTCCTAGTGCCTGACAGTCAGCGCAGGCTAGAAAAGGAGACACTTATGATGACTTAGAGCTGCAAAGAATCTCAACAAGTTGCAATCAAGTGGCCCCAATGAAGTGGATGTCTTTATGACAGTACATAACATGTGCACTCATTTTGTGCCTGACTTGCACCCTACACTACTACTGTCACACAATAATCATACAAGCACCGCAGCACTGTGAACAGCAGTCAAATGGACAACAGGGGCACATGCCCAGCTTGCTATCTCCTCACTGACAGTCAGGGGCATGTTCATCTGGCCGATCTGAAAACACTACACACACAGCTGTACATTCAATAGCTGGGAGGTAAGAATCCAGCACAATTTGTTGAATCTCCCACCAGGCATTCCCCATATTGATTCCTCTTCCCATCCAGTTTATGGAAAGTGCCCAACCTAGTTTTGTAATGATGCAGCCATTGGTTGTGTACTGCCGTGGTGCTATAGCCACAGGTAATTCTACAAAAAGGTACCAGCAGGAATTAGAATGTCAAGAGCATTCCAGCACACACCCAACTGTATGTCACGCATATAACATAAGGGCTATGTGCATTGTCACCATGCAGGTGTCTCCAGCATCCAGCATAGTGGCTATTAGTGCATCTTACTAGAAGACATGCCGCATTCACAGCCCTACTTCCAGAATAGAAGTTCTATGCAGTCTCTCTGAACTCAGTGCTGCCACTGGGGGGTGGAGTGGAATTGCCTCCAGCTGACTACATAGTTGGATGCTCTATAGCTGCTCTAACTCAAACACTTCATCAGCACACCAGCTAGCAAAAGTCTGGAGTGGGAGAACATCTAGTGGGGGATGATGCAGGCAGGTTAGACATGCCATGGCAGTTTGTGTTTCCTATAATATTGCATGTCACAACAAGAACCTTCTATGGTTAGTAGCGGCCACTACCAGGACAAGTGATTGTAGATTTAAGGCTAAGCTAACATGGACACCCACATGTACTTGCACAAACCTGCAGGAAATCAGTACATGATGACGGTACTGTTTCCATAACACCAACACCGTTATGAAGGAGTGAAGAAATACGAAGGGGGAAAAGAAGCAATGCAATACTCCCCCCCCCCTCTCTCTCTCTCTCTCTCTCTCTCTCTCTCTCTCTCTCTCTCTCTCTCTCTCTCTCTCTCTCTCTCTCTCTCTCTCTCTCTCTCTCTCTCTCTCTCTCTCTCTCTCTCTCTCTCTCTCTCTCTCTCTCTCTGCCACTGTCCACAACTATTCCACACAAACAGGACCAGTCAACCAGAGCGACTTCACAACCCAATGACATACAATCCTCCATCCACATCAAAAATAAATGGGATGGGTAGGTCACGGTACCAAGGATGAGGGCAATACATGTGTTGCATTCCACGCTAACGCAAAGCCACTGATTGAACTAAATCTCAGCACTGCTAGTGCAACAATGCGGCGGCTTGAAATGGGTGATATTTGTGGCCAGCCTCCTGCTGTGAGCCAAGAGCACTGCTCCAAGAAAGCACTGTGGACACCAGCTACGTACTTCAGAGGATGCCAAGTGCTAGTAACTGTGTCTGTACTCATGCCTGGAGTCCACAACACCACTAGTACAGGCATGTACTTGTCTTTGTCCTTTCTTTGTATTCACAACTCCAGTTAGAACTAACTTGGACTTTTCCGACCAGATGAAACCCTCGAAGATTACAACCCATAGGGCCATAGGGCCATAATACTAGTACACACTGGCCACATGGGGGCTTGAAGTTCGTGATTTAGCATAACACATCCAGTAAGTACAATGAACATGTACATGTCTCACAAGTTGAAAACAGCAGACTGCAAAGTAAGTAACCAATAGTAACCAATAGTTAGTCACCCCATGTTGAACTGTTTGTTTCAATGATGGGTTATTATAGTTAGTTGGGAGTGGCTTTCTTTCTTTCTTTCTCTCTTTATTTCTTCTCCTGAAGGCTCATCTTTACTTCACCTCCACCTCGAATTTTTACTATTGATGATCGCCCCCTCACTAGTAGTAGAGCCAGATGAAATCCATCCCCTGGATCTCAGCTTTACAACCCTTCCACAAATACTCAATAGTCGTGTGCATGACTCATGAGACTACAATCATGTCTGTATGACCTGTGACTGTGCAGAAGACCTGATTTTATTGCACGCATTGCCAGATACATGTACCGCACGATGAGTACAATACTGTACAGTGTACAACAAGTCATGTACATGTACATGACTTGTTGTACAGTCATAGTCATCATGGTCATTGTGGCACTTGTTTACTAGTAATTTGTAGTACGTGACAAGTATTTTACTGCAATCACAACTCATCTTATCAGGATGGGATTTCAAGCTACGATCTTCTCAGACCTAAATTATAAAGCCCGTAGGCAACTGTTTCACCTGCAAAGACAAAGTCAGTGCCACACGTTTTACAGCAAAAACCACCACCTGTTCGAGGCTCAGCTGATCAGGAGCCAGTCAGATTGAACATTGTGAACAACTTCAAATACCACAGTTACAAGCAGCGGAAATACGACCCTTTTTCACCGCTCTGTCCAGGATCAGCTGAGTAGGAAATAACTCCATAGTACTAGCACTTGAAGTGATCACTATTGCCATTCTTACTACAGGTGTTATCTTCGATCAGTCCCATTCCCCGGCTAGGCTCCCTTCGGAAAACCCCATGACAGAGCACTAACAATGAAGAGCTAGAGGAGCACGGTGAACCACAGGTCAGCATCGGCATGCGCTGACGCTGCAGCCAGTCAAACAGGCAAGAATCGATCATCGAAGCATCCATCCACTCTTTCTAGCTCTCTCTCTCTCTAGCAACCAGAGGAACGCGCAGGAGGACACAAGCAAGCCAGGAAGACAGGTAACTGGTTTTGGCAACATCTTCGTCCAAACTCGAAAGTCCCCAAGGCCCTTCACATTGAGAACAGCGAAGAGCAGCATGTGATAGCTTTCAAATCTGCCACGTAATTACGAGAAGAAAAGGCCACCGCGCTCGCTTTGCACACGCGCGAACTGTCGAGAACACTGGACGACCCATACTGTAGCCCGCCTCTGGCCTCACAGCAACTCGCCATGCATGCCAGCCTGCATCGCTCAGGATTGCAGGAATCCCCGCAGCGAGCGATCTGCCAACACGTCGTTCGGCCTGCCAGTGGGAATACCAGCCTAGCTCATTGATTTTCTGACTTCGTCGCCTGTGGAATCATCGTAATGTGTGTGCAAGGATGCTGGCGGCCCCTTTCCTTGACGAGCCTCGGTGCTGTATACCATGCCATTGTTCAGGCATCCACTTGTCAAAATACAAAACCGTCGCAGGCAAAGCACTCGAACAGAATAGTATGTTGACGTGATAGTGACAATAGCAGGTTCACCCAATAACCACAATGACAGCTAGGCAAGCTGTCCCACAGCGTTCCGCGCACGAGATATCAGTGTGGATAAATTTGTCTCACTGCAGGCACCTTACGTCTTTCTTACTCGTTGTTAGCGAGAGAAACGAGTGGCTCAGGGTTAGCTGGAACGCATGTCCAGGGCATGTCAATTAATACTCGTTCCTGCTGCTGAAACCCTCCATCGGGACCACCTCAAATAATTCATACGCTGAAAATCAATTGATTGCTTGTTGACTATAATTTTCAGGTCAGTACAGCGCACAAGCAGCGGCGACACAAGCACCCAGACTAGCAAACCCACTCGCCACTACTACAACTTACTGCAAGACAAGTTATGCATTGCATGGACTTTCCGCCCGCAATCCACGGAACATACCTTTTTGACCAGGTGCCAGGCGGAAAAGCTCAGCGGCATGATCCTCACGTAACAACTTCTGCTGAAAATAAACAGCAACACACACGGCGCAGAAATATGCACATGGAACTTACACCCTCCCATGTAAAACACCAGGGAACTACAGGGGAAATCATGAGGATGTGCGGACATAGTTGTAGGGTGAACAAGAAACAACTCCAGAACATTTCCACTTCCAGCACTCGGACATGCTTCAGCGGATGTCACGCACAACCGTATACACATGTCAAAGACCAACGGTAACAGATTTGAGACATTTCCGATCTTCATAGCCCAGGGGACAAGGATTTCGTGCTCACACGCGTAATTACATGGATCTCCCAATGAAAAACTCCAAAACATGCAATGAGATTCCTGCTCATACTAGTGGACGGATAGCTAGGGTGGGAGGAAGTAAGTGTTAGCTAGGACCTAGCATTCTAGGATGCACCCACGCGCACACCGGTCTCACCTGTTTCTCGGCCAACACGACGGCGCTCAGTACGTGAACTATGCACCATGTGCTCATGACGAGCGGCACTCCAAAACTCAACATGATCTCCACTCCACCTAACCACGTTGCACACACACTACGTTTTACACACAGATTGTTTGATGATTCAGTGACGGCGTCTGTAATTTCTCAACTTCCACACAGAAGGTCACAATCCGAACACAAGCAAGAAAGAAATGTGCTGGGCTCACGGAAGAAAATTTAGCTGTTCCTATTTCCAGTCCGGTAGTTGAAGTCGTGGCGGACACGATCAAGAACAGAGGACTGGCGTCAGCGCAGCTGCATGCACACAACGGACATAATCTGCTGATCCGGCCAGTGCAAAGCCACCAGAGGGTAGTGCTGAGCATTCGTGGCGGCGGGGTAAATAAAGGAAGAGAACACAATGGGTTCGCGTGTCCTCGAGAGCACTTTATACACTCGCCAAACCGATCACTGATTGAGCGAGCACTCAGCCTTGCCATATCCATGCCGAGCATCGTCTCACTGACACGACACGAACCATGCGAACTGCCCCGAGTACCGCAGAGTACACCTCAACTGGACTCCGATAATGCTGCACGTGACCAATCTCTGCCACCTGATCGCACGTAACAAGCGGTGCTGATCATATTTACCTGATTTACACCAGATCACGGAGTCCTACAAGGTCTTTGTAGATTGGTACTGACATGCCCGGCGGCCTCATCCAAAAGAGTAAAAGAACGCAGACAAAAAGACATCGATTCAAACTCGTACTCGACCTTCGTTCGAGCAGAGGTCGTTTCTAGTTCTGCGACGGAAGACATCGTTTTGTGGAAACAGTCCTAGTCCCGATCTCAGCAGCCAACTACAAAAAATGCCACCGTTGTGTTAGTGTGTGGGAGAGCGTTACATAATCCGCTCTAGATTTTACAAACAATCCTGGGGTCTGCATGCTAGGTGTCATTGTCCATTTTGAAGCAGTTGATCTCGAAATCTTGCAAACGTCTGTGCAGCCCATCATGTACATGAACTACTCTCTGCTAGAGAGTAGAGACTACAGAGTACAGTAGAGTTGGCCTGTACGGAGTCTCCACTACACCACAGACCCAGACCCAGACAAAGAGTCGAGACCATCCATTCATCGATCTAAATCTACACTCAGTCGTCACAGTAGATCTACGGACTTCACTGCACCAAGAGTAGATCTACTACACATATTCGCTGTATGTACATGCACATCAGTGGCCAATATCTTGACTGATCTGAGTGCATGACTATGACTAGTATGAGTATGTGGTCAGGCGGAGAGTAAAAGACCGAGCAAGGTGAAGGTGAAGCCGAGGTCTTTTTACCGAGCATGAAGTCAAAATTAGATGTATCACGACAAACCAAAGCATGTGTTCAATCCCTAAAAAGGAGTCAAAATAAGCAGTCAAATGAGCCCAACTGAAGGAATGAAATATACAGGAATATGCTAGGATTGCTTAGATAACACTAATCAATGGGAGTCAATACTGAGAGATTGATAATAATACCCGGTAACCATTGTGTACATGATTGTACACCATTTAGCACTGTTGTGTTGGACAAGTAGTTCTGGGTAGAACGGAGGTGAAAACGACTGCACGTGCCATGGCGAAAGGTGCAAGTGGCCTGGCAGCGACCAAAAGCCCACAGTGACACCTCATGAACACAAATTACACTGAAGTCACGACACGATGTTGCAGACATCGATCGATCGTCAATGCAAGGCAAGGTGAAGCAGACTGCATCAGAACAACTGCATGCATCCCGGACCAGGCAACAGACTCAGTGTTCCTACCGCAACTCCTCTGCTCTCTATCCGTCAAGTCACTCAGTGGCTCAATCTGTCTTCTAAGATGTGCTTGCCCTATTTGATCAGTTCACGCATTTCGTCCACATATTACCATGATTACCGGAAACATAGATAAGCCAACGAAGGCAAAGGCGAACACCCTTCATGAAGCCACTGGAACTGATAAAAGATCTACTGGAACTCCGTAGATCCGACGGCCATCGACGATGTGGGTCATTGTGGGGATTATGTGTGGGTTTTATCGACCTTCACTGTCTCAGCGTCAGATTTGTTGAGGACATTGCACTCACGCTAGTACGCTGTGGTCGAGACGCGAGACCCCTGCTTCCATGTTTGGTGCGTGACCGACAACGCGCAGAGGTGAGACAGTTCAGCGGAGAGTCTGGACCAGTCCAGAGTGAGCCCACTGGCACTGACGCATGTCATGTACAGATCAGTACAGTAGATCTACTGAGTGGTACCGTACTGGCAATATATGTTGCCGCAGTGAGGCCATGAAGCGTTACATTGGCACATGTTTGCCGCACGCAGGGCGTTACATGCAAAGTCGCACAGGAGCCGTTACACAGGTTTCTATATTGCCGCAGTCCTTTTTTTGCTATTGCCGCATCACTTTTTTGCTATTGCCGCATCATTTTTTTGCTTTTGCCGCATCATTTTTTCTTTTCATCCACATTGAAGGCACAGAAATTCAGTTGCTATCCAACTGTTACAAACCCGACGGCAAAGGGCGACAACGATATCAATAGAAGACTGTATATTTTAACTATCAGAGTGATCTGTTGACAAAAAGATCATCAAAAGGAAAGTGACATAGGGGAAGAGCGCTTCCTCCAAAAACTACTTTTCACCACGCGGTACACGTGCTTTCACAGCAAGTTTTCAGCCTTTTTTTGCAGTGCAAACTGCAATGAAAAGATCGCCGCACCCCGCCGGACGCGCGTTACGAACTCTACGAAAATTGGTCGCACTAGCCTGGTCGCGCGTTACGCCGCACCCCCCTGCGTTACGCGTTACGCGGCAAGATAATATTGCCAGTACGGTAAATAATACATGTGGGACATGACTCATGAGGGCTTGAGGCTGAGGTACAGACTGCAGTGACTACTTCAGTACTGTGTAGTGAGACTACGCATCTTTTCCGTGTGCATGCATGTCCGTGTATACGTGATGTGTGGTCCATGAGCCACACTCGAGAAGACTCTCTACTCAGGGACTGATCAGAGAGGGCTTGTACGACTCCCTGCTACTGCAGCTGGCACCTAATACTAGTACAATAGTACAATCATCATCATGTACTGATGTAGTACCTCACAGTCACTACACCAGTCTCTGACCTTTCTTTTCGCGGCATCACACTGTCGACTGCGATAGAAGAAATAGTAGAAGAGATAATCAGTGCCAGTGAAGTCTGAAAATGAAGTCCCTGACCTGATATGAGGCTGAGCAGCGCAGATGCTGTGAAGCGGGAGAGGGTGCTTGTGCGTATCCGTCTGTCAGACTCTGCCATCCCACCCACGCACACTGCACATCACCGGCACATCTTCGACTTTGCGCGCATGCATGCACGCAATCAGGTCGCGTGGTTTGTGCCTAAATATAAATTAATCATGACACTGTATCAGAACTGTAAACAATAATAAACTACTTTCCCACTTCAGCAGTTAGGAGACATTCCGAAATTTCTGTGAAAAGAACGAACTTTTTTGTCACTGTCTGTGCGCTCGCGCGTGAGCATGAATTGTAATGAAGACACAGTTCACACTTCTCGGTCACAGCTAAATCAGTAATCAGGTCGTCATTCATGGTCGCGGCGTGCCTTTTTACACTGCAAAACATACTTTATACGGCAGTCTGGCAACAGCACAATGTACAGTACACAGAAGAACGACTTGACGACTTGCTGCTGTGACTTTTACTTTTAGAACGTTTCCTGGGACAAAGCAGTTTAACCAGCGCTCTCTGGGCAAATTCCAGATGGTGCGTGGCCGAGGAAGGAGTTTTGGAGGGGAAAGCGTCATTGATCCGCCTGGTGGAACATACAGCAGTAGAACAAGCCTTCACCTCTGTCTTTCTGTTATCCCTTTCTTCTTCATGGGAAGGACTGATGCCACTCGCGCCGTTACACTCATTTGCAGACATGATGTGACCTAAGAACGGCTGGAGGCGATCACCTGTCCCCCACACGCAAACCGTTGCCTTATGCTGCATGGACCTTGGTGTGGCTGTATTTCACAAAGTATTTCCAGATCATTCGAAAGTCGACTGCTGCCCAGCAAACGAATCAGCGCATGAAAGCAATGCAATAACAATGCTTTGGCCGTGTTGGCTGTTGAGACAGCTACAATCGCTCTCTTGGAAGTTAGTTGGAGATGTCCGCCCATCTTGACAGCTCAACACCAACACTTCTGAACGTTCTGGTACAACGAGTCAATGACGCAGGTTGGAAAGAGAGCGTCTAGACTCTAGCACAGTACATGACTGTACATGTATGTACCGGTATGTGTACATCACTACATGTACTACAGTACACCATACTGATCAGCATTTCACCCCAACTACTACTTCCATCGTCGGCAGTTTCCTCTGAGACAAAAAATGCGATAATACTCATACAAAGTTAATCCACTGTTCCTGTTCCTTTCCCCTTGCCTGTATTTCACCTGATGAGAAGGCTTGAAAGTATACTTGTGAAAACAAAAACTTTCAAGATGTTCGTAATGAGCCTGAAGTGTGTCCTTTTTATGAGTATAATCAAGAGTACATAACCCCGGGGGGTTATGTACTCTTGGTATTATCCATCGTCGGCCTTTACCGTTTTTGTGGTTTTAAACTTTTTTTGTGTGTTTTCAGGACATGATTAGCATTTCGGTTTCTGGGAACGATCGTCCTGTGGCTTGTGAATCGTACCGTTTCGTTCTCCCGGTAAGCTTGTAAAAAGTACAATACCCCCACTGCACTGAGCACTAGTTTCTGGCTAATACTAGCATAAAGTATCAAAACTGTAGTCAATCCATAAACATGAATAAGAACCTGAGGAAGACGACAGGCCGTACGGTACAGTGCAGTGGTCATGTACTTGTGCACTGTACAGTAACTGTTGTTCACACGTCATCATGGGAGGTACATGTACAAAAAATGTACATTGTACAGCGCTGGTGGATGCGTTGCCTGGTCAACTACTGGTACTTTCCGCAATTATGTAGAGGAACCACTGAGCGGCTATGCAGGGCAGGTATGCTGCAACATAACTTCATAAGCAGCAGCACAGGTGCTTCTTCCCACTTCAGTTTCGTTATACATGTAGTTCAGCCCAGAATGAGATCATCACTGCCACTAGTGCACTCATGATGATGAACAGAACATAGCGGTTCTATAGAACAATACGGCACACTGAGACAGTGGCAGTAATCAATGTAGTCCCTCCTCGCAGAATAGATCAGGCACGAGTACACCTGATTGTGGCAGCTGCTTGAAGGTATGTTTGAGGTCACGAGTGGAGGCGGACCTTTTCAACCCCCGACTGAGCTAGCTGAGGGTACTAAAAGGTTGTGCACCCTTTACTGAGTTTTCAGCAATCTCCGGTTTCAACAAGCCAGGAGATACACGATTGTATTCATCCCGTTTTAGATACTCGTGGAGACCATTCCACCAAAAAAAGGTTTATTGCATACAGTCACGTTCAGTCAAGTTCTCGGGCCACTGAGCCACCATAATAATTATAAATCACAGTCACCACTTCCGCTGCATAACTCACTGGGCAATGGGCATCTCCCCCTCTCTCCTCAATTCAATTGGCTGTCTTGACATGCTACGCGTACGAGGTGCAGAAATAAATACATGAAAATAAAAATAAAATGTACAGTGTATGAGTACTATGACTGTAATACTATGTACTGAGTCTGTACATGTACATGTACATGTACAGACTCAGTACATAATACTGCGCAGGTACCAGTAAGAAGACTTGACAAAAGTAACGTCATGACAGTGTTGGCCAACACTATGGTAGGTCTACCAATACTCAGCCAATGAAAGGATCTAGGATGACACCAATCACTGAATCAGCAATCATATCACGGTTGCTATAACGGTCCCCCGTCGACAATCTATTGTGGCTTTTCAGGCGCACACCTTTCCGCCTCCCTCGCTCAACCGGGCACCTAATGTCCTTTCCTGGCAATTCCATTACTGCATTAGCTCTGTGCCAGAACTTTGCAGCCCAGAGAGCGTGTGTGGGCAGGCGTGTATTTACCGCCATATTGCCAGGTGTGTCTTTACCACCATGAATTAATCAACCAATTCCATTAGAACCTGGCAATTGTCAGAAACTAATCTAAAAATCACTTGAACACTTTGATTTGCCATGTGTGTGACTGCTGGTTATTCAGGCTGTGGGGTCTGCATGGTTCAGACGTCTACACTTCAAGCCTGGAGCACATCACAAAAGAATTATGACAAAGACCTTATCAGGCAAAGCCGCCGCCGCCCCCCCCCCCCCCCATATCAATGCAGGCTACCCCAGCAACAGATATGCGCACTAGTGAGGTTTGCGGATCATAACAGGAGAATATTGGAGACCTCTAAGTAATGTAAATGTAGTGACTCTACTACTGTAGTACATCCACTCACGCGGGCTATTTTTTCATGACCGCACAGCACAACCAACACTAGTCTTGAACATGCGACATCACACGGGGGAAGCACCTTGAATATATGGGCATAAAAGGCATTCAGCCTACCAGTATAGATATTATTAAAACACCTGAAGACTATTAGTATTATGTTTTAGTGATGCGGGCGTTTTAGTCAATACTAGTCTATGTCTGCTGCAGCTATGGGTTAAACTATGGCCGACGGCGATCAGATACAGAACTGGTGATGGTGAGGCTCTTAGAACATTATCGAATACTTCGAAGTACAATGTACATGATTGTACACTACGCGTTGAGAGAAGATTTCAAATCTAGTGCACACAATAACGGATGGAGAGCCAAGGATGACTAACTTGTAAATCCTATGGTCTGCTTCACTTTTTTTACTAGTATACTTGAACTTCAGAAACCCAGGACAGTTACTATTATACAAAGTATAGATGGTATTCCTGTGCGTGTTTGTATGAAGGGCTTCATTGCAAAACGAGATAAATCCATTTTGACCAATTTTCAGGAGGAGCGATTTTCTGTGATCAACAACTGGGTGGGTTTGGGTCAAATCTAACTTAGCAGATGAGAAGAGTAGGGTGATGTATGCAAATACAGGCTTTCTCAAAAATCAGGAGCCATCCATTTTCTCAAGCAAGGTGATTCTTCATTATTTTCGGGCAAAACCAGACCAGTTCGCCGGACTAATCAGTATTATGAGATTAGAAAATACAAGTGCAACGACTTCACTGAGTTCGGAACTCTGAAGGAGCTCAGCAGCAACAGCACTGCCAGCAGCAGCGTCGTCCCTCCCTGACGCCTCTAGCATACTGCCCTTTTCAGTTTCGAAAGCGAAAAACAACAGCTACGAAGAAGATGATACAAAAAGAACGAAATGACAACGTAGATGTACGACTCGTAGCTGCTACAAAGCAACAACACGAAAACACTGATAGTACTTTGAACTCTGACATCAACATTTTGCACAGACTCAGTTTGTAGTCGCGATGTTTGCCACGTGCTGCGCCAGCACTCGCTGGCTTGTCACAGGTCAAGCTGGCCCGCGCGACAGGATATGTCGCACTTTGCTCGAAAACATCGGTGGTGTTTATCGCGTTTTGCAGTAGAACGTCAACTTCAACGTTGATTTTCAGTGGGATATGTCTCGTTTTGGAGAATTCTTTTTGGCCACCAGATGCAGTGATCCCTACTGATTCGATTGACACCGAAAACGCCATATGCATGAGATTGGCGTTTAGCGCGTTTTGCAATGAAGCCATTTTTTAATAGACAGTAAATAGGTATTAAACAACAGCTCGCATCTTCCCTGAACCTGTTGGACTGGATCAGGGTTGACGCATCTGCCAACAGTGTCAAGCCAATGTAGTCTACATGTATCTCTTGCAGCCTGGAGAGCGCTCTCCGCGGAGACAGACAATAATTAAGAGTAAATACACTTCCTATACTCTTTTGGAAATGGTGTGTTGCTCCCTACGTGGGAGCTTGCGCTATTCCTGCCGACTTGAATTCTCACTTGACTGACTCACGACCGCCATCCAGAGCACACGAGAAGTCCATCGAACCTTCCACTCGGAAAACCTGCAAGAAAGCACCACTCCCTGCTCGATACACAGTGTTTCGGGGAATTCACCCCATATCAGTTGAGCTTGAGTAGGCTGAGGAAGATTGTGCCCGAAGAGCACCACTTAATAGTGCTCTCCAGGCACAAACATCGCCAGGGATACAAACTTAGGTGGCCCTAAGCCTTCGGCATAATGCGGAACTACACGCTCCGTTTCCAGTGCGACAAACACCTTGTGAACACCAGATAGAAGCGTGTGTCAGTGTCGCTCATGGAGGTACGGAACAAACGCTGAGGACCGTTGGTTGGCCATTCACAACATTGACATCATTGTTGCCTCCAAACCATCTACATGTAATTCGCAAGCCGCGCCGGGGACAGCAATGTGAAGAAGAGGTTGATGCGACTTCGGCGATATTTGGGGAAATAAAACTACGAATTAGAAGTTTGGAGGCAACAACGTTGTGAATGGCCAACGTTTGTTCAGCACCTCCATGCGCGACACTGACTCACGATGCTATCTGGTGTTCACGAGGTGTTTGTCGCGCTGGAAACGGAGCATCTCTTTAAAAGTGTTGCTCTTCAGGCACAATCTTCCTCAGCCTACTCAAGCTATTTACTGATGAGGGGTGAATTCCCCGAAACACTGTGTATTGAGCAGGGAGTCAGTGGTGCTTTCTTGCGGGTTTTGCCGAGTGGAAGGTTCGATGGACTTCTCGTGTGCTCTGGATGGCTGTCGTGAGTCAGTCAAGTGAGAATTCAAGTCGGCAGGAATAGCGCAAGCTCCCACGTAGGAAGCAACACACATTTCCCCAAGTATCGCCGAAGTCGCACCAACCTCTTCTATATACTCCTTTATGTGCGTAAATCATGCCGTATAATGAAGCACACAATAAGGATAGACGCGCAACTTGAATCATTATGCTTCGCCTGCTTCTGTCCTACTGATACCTTTACTTGTTTTACTTACATAATTTCTCTCTCTCTCTCTCTCTCTCTCTCTCTCTCTCTCTCTCTCTCTCTCTCTCTCTCTCTCTCTCTCTCTCTCTCTCTCTCTCTCTCTCTCTCTCTCTCTCTCTCTCTCTCTCTCTCTCTCTCTCTCTCTCTCTCTCTCTCTCTCTCTCTCTCTCTCTCTCTCTCTCTCTCTCTCTCTTCTCTCTCTCTCTCTCTCTCTCTCTCTCTCTCTCTCTCTCTCTCTCTCTCTCCTCTCTCTCTCTCTCTCTCTCTCTCCCCTCTCTCTCTCTCTCTCTCTCTCTCTCTCTCTCTCTCTCTCTCTCTCTCTCTCTCTCTCTCTCTCTCTCTCTCTCTCTCTCTCTCTCTCTCTCTCTCTCTCTCTCTCTCTCTCTCTCTCTCTCTCTCTCTCTCTCTCTCTCTCTCTCTCTCTCTCTCTCTCTCTCTCTCTCTCTCTCTCTCTCTCTCTCTCTCTCTCTCTCGATCTGAAAACGAAGTCGAGCAAACAGCAACTCGAACGAAGCGAAGAAAACAACAAGATGAGCTACGCGACTGTATTATAATTTTTATATTGACTATTTTAATAAAAAATATTATAATAAAAGGGCCAGGCAAAAAAGGAATAGCGATGACATCATGTCATCAGTCACGCGTGAACACAGCGCATGCAGCCTTGCAGGCGCTGGCGAAATTAATAATGAAGTCAAAATCGTTGCCGGGAATTACAATTCAATTATTGACAAATAAACTACTTCAAGGAAAGATGAGAAGTGAAACGACTACAGGTAGCACTAGAAGAAATAGAACAAGGACAATGGAAGCAGACTACGGATGAAGCTACAATGAGGTAAGAGGCATGACACACTGATGACAGATGTCACCACAATAAATACATAATATCGTAAAATTTGTCTACACATACATTGTATCGTCACACTACACACTACACACATTGTCATAATTATTGTCACATCTCTGAAGAACGAATGATTCAGTAATTCCAACAAAGTATAGAACAAAGATAGTAGATAAACAATTGTGACACTCGTAAATTCTATAATATCTGGAGTCTTCTGCACATGCAATCTGGTATACTGTGCAGTCATGTGATGTTTGTGTTTACCAACTGCACCATCGTTCCATCTGCTCTGACCTGCTCAGAACCCAATTAGATTGCTCGGGCGTGGGTGACTCCAGTGACATGGTGGATACCTGATCGTCCTCAGCGTCTTCTTCATCCTCGCTGTAATGCGCCGGTCTGAGAATAGCATCCTAAGCACGGATCTGCAGCTCATTCTGTGCACTCAGCTCCTGTAAAGCCAGGTGACACACATGGGTTAGGAAACACATTGCATTGATTGCAACAATGATGCTAGCTGCTGGTATTGCAGGCTGCAGCAGGAGGGAAGTACAGGTGCGGGGTAACATTATTTAAAAAAATTATAATTGCACACGCGCGCGCGCGCGCGCGCGCACATACACACACACACACACTGTATTGGTGTGCTGTTTTTTGTTTGTTTTTGTTTTTATATTGAAAACCACAAACCTTCAGACATGGTTGGCTTTCACCCACATCTTCCCATTTTCCAGTGTTGCCAACCGCCCGTATTTGTCCGTATTTTTACGGAAAAACGAAGTTTTGTCCGCAGTACGGATTTCAATCGAATATCTCGCAAACGATCATATACATGTATATGGTCGATTACTAGAACCATCATAACTCCATCGTTTCTTGTGCAAAGTCAACAATCGAAGGGTCTACACGGTAGCAAAAACTCCAAGCAAGCCGCCCAATGCAACAATCGCTGAAGCGAAGTCGGACTCCAGAGATATCGCGCGCCGTATTCAGGTATTCTTACCTTGGCAAAATCAAATTTTTCATCGAACTCTTCGCCATTTTTTTTGGGGGGGGGTCCTTTCTTGCGTGCCCTTTGAGCAATTGAGCACTTTATAATGATGTAGCCCGCTGAAGTTTGAATCGTCTCGAACAATTTTGAGCGTTCTGCGGTGAAGGAGAGTCGAATGGTGTTGATGGGACGATTTGCTTGCATATTAGGCTTGGAGACGACTTTGCTGTGTTACCGCGCCTGATTTGTGGCGGCTTCATAATGGTGCTTGGCATCCTGGCGTTGCTCCTGCCTAGAGCTTTCCAACGAGCCCTAGATTGTGAAAATCAAGCGAAGTAGAACAAAGTTATGACCTAGTGAAGTTGAAAATTGTACTGAATTCGTGCGTAGCCTTCACAGTTGAACTAGTCTTTGTGGTACACTCTCACAACACCAACACACAGAAGTCTCTGCTGAGAGCACGGTGGCTCGGCAATGGCGAAGTGACGGAAATGCGGTCAAGGACCGCATCTTGTCGGTACCACATTCTGTGGAATGAAATCCAAAATCGGAGCGATTTTGCAGCGTCTTAGCGCAAATTGTTTCGAGTTATCCACAAAGACACAAGCTTTCCAACTCTCTTCGGCCGTTGGAAAGCGTACCAATCAGTCAAAATGTTGACCTGAAAAACGAGTACGGAAACCTCTGAAAAATTCTGCAAAATGGCACTGGCCAATACGCATGGGGGTAGAGGCCACTTGGTAACACTGATTTTGGCTGCCATTGGAAGCCATAAGATGTTGAATAAATAAAATAAATGAATACTACAGGACCATGCTTACCAAGAGACCTCCAACTTGGTCTTCAATGCTCTTTATTGCATCGTCGATATCATCAATACCAGGTCCAAAGACTGGTGTGGGTAGCTCGGCCGAATTCAGGTCAAACGGCTCGAAGAACCCTTGGTCTCTACCTGGGTAGTCGATAGACTCTGCAGCTGTGAGCTTCGCTGAAGTCGCTGGTGCACTCGGTTCAGGCTGAGCACAGAGCAGGGTACAACAGGAACGCTTAGTACAACTTTAATTCCCGTAGCTATGCAGAAGACGTTACTTCAGTAACGTCTGGCGCTAGCCAGGGTCCACACAGCTTTAATTTGGTATTTGTGTGTTTGTGTGTTTGTTTGTTTGTGTCACGCCTGGCGCTATCCGTATCTGACGGCAAAAAAGCATAGGACGTTATAAATTTTTCAATTCTCCTATTTTTTTTTTCAGGCATATCCTGGGATTCGAACCCGCACTATCGCCCTACATGCATTCCCCCATACACTTCGCATTCATACCCATTCTTCCAAGTTGCTTCACGTTATTATCTTGCGTTTGAAAGCCCTATTTGAATATTGCGGGCAGCTGTATGTGGCCAGCTGTGTTTGATGGTACGGTACGGGAGACGGTGTCGTATTACCCTCCCGTACCTATCCCCTACCGTACCGTGCGATCAAAGACGGCTGGCCACAATGCATATTCAAATAGGGCTTTGAAATGCAAGATCACAATGTGAAACAACTTGGAAGAATTAGTATGTATGCGAAGTGTATCGGGGGATGCATGCAGGGCGCGCGATAGTGCGGGTTCGAATCCCAGGTTATGTCTTAAAAAAAAAAGGATTTTTTTAAAGAATTTATAACATCCCTATGCTTTTTTTTGTCTAGGTCATCAAGGCAAAAAAGCATAGCGTAGGGCCCTGAGCTTCCAAGCTCTCTCGTTTATAAGACATAACATGTGAATGTGCACATATACAGTGCACATACGTATGCATAAAGAAGCCAGCACAGAAACGGCAGTGGTGGTGAAGCCTGAGCAGCTCGTCCGACCTTGGGTCTCGGAGTCACACTGGACAGACGCACCGGGAGGAAGGGGTGTGCTGTATGCATAGAGCAACTGGGCACAGTGTGTGTGGCACACTCTACACTGTGAGTACACTTAGTGTGTGCATCACACTGTGGACCAGGGAGTAGTAAAATACTGGTATTTTACTACTCCTGGCTGTGGACTGTGTGCATGCACACACTGTGACACAGTGTGCGGTACACAGTGGACTGGATTGCTAAAGCATTGGTCAAGCAGTCTAACTCACAATGCTAGCTTCATCACGACTCCAGAACTTGCTGGCAAAGTCCTTGCTGGCGAACTTCTGCTCAAAGTGATGCTCTTTCTGTGTCAGTGACCGATGGGCAGGGGAAGCAAGTCCCGACAGAGCTGTCGGTTTCATTTCCTGAATAAGAACACGGAAAAGCACCAAATCAAGCTAAGTACACTGCAAAGGTAATCCAAAATTGAGGTGAGTACCAGTATGCATATTCAGCTACATGTACTTCAATGGGAGTCTATTCCGGGTGTCAGCGGTCGTTGTGCGTTCTCTTTAAATGGGACAACAATTTCCCTTAATGGCAGACTCCACTTAGCATTCATTATTGCCCCCCCCCCCCGAGACACACACATCATAGCACCATAGAATGGGGTTGCATTTTTTTTTGTTTTTGCCATGTGATTATGCAATCACCATTGTGAAACGAGGGTTGCCTGTTGCTCCTCGTTGCTAGTCTTGAAGAAAAGAAAAAATCACGCCTTCTAGTATCTTGTACTGCTAGCTGCCAATACTGATGCTGTCCCTGCGTTCGCCACCTCCAAGTCCAACTGCCGAGGTGCCTCGTGCTGTAGCACTACCACACCTTGGTCCGCCCTGCGTTGATCCGGCATCGTACTCCCGTACTCTGCCCATGCTGCCATACTCTCGCGTTGTGGCCCTCGTGGGTACGTCTTACGCTATTTGCCCTTGCCGCGTGCTTATGCGGCCCGCCTTACCTGGTGGGCTCTCGCGCCTTATTTCCCATATACCGTAAGCATGGTGGTGTCTGTCATTGTGGACCGTTTGGCATCCGGGGACTTCGCCTCTTCCGTACGTGGTATGTTTTGCTCCGCCATACCGCCTGTTGTATCTTGCGTGCTCGGTTAGTACCAGGGAGTAGTACAATACTACTCCCTGGTTAGTACTGTCCCCTGGCTGAGTCTTAGTACGCACGCTGGAGTCCTTTCGTGCCATGAAAGGAACTGCTTCCTAATATAGAGATTAGGCGCCATGAGCCCTGCTTTTGGTAAACATTGCATTCGTAGCGCTGATACCTTTATGCAAATATGGGGTAGTCTCGCCTGCGCATATGGGTGCACTCGTACTCATGGTTCGGCCTGGGCTTTCCCCCTCACGGCTGTTACGGGGAGGTCACTTGGCAAGATGGCGGCGACCTGTAGCAACGCCCCTGGCAACAGAGGTCACACGGAAAGCGTGGGTACGCTCATCGCATTTTTCAAATTTTCATGATCATTTCCGCAGAAAGAAAAAGGTTCTGTCACTTCGAATACTTGAAATAGTACTTTTATGGATTTCGTCTCTTCAGTCTCTTGCTCGTCAAAAAATGTTGTTGGAGGCAGCTGTGCTCCGCAAAGTGCAACGGATACCGCTCAGTAGCAGATAAAGAAGATGTGCTTCGCAGGACTCTTTCGCAAAATGACGACCTGCGCCTCGGATCGGAGGAGAACTTTTTGTCAAGTTTACTCAATCTCCTGACAGCTATAGCTGTTTCGACCTTGTTAGGTCTCATCAGCGGAGTTCACAGTGTGTGGCCGAACAGATCAGCAAGAATTAATTTCAACCTCGTTAGGTCTCATCAGAGGAGCTCAGAGTGTGTGGCCGAACAGATCAGCAAGAATTAATTTCAACCCTGTACAAGGAAGGACATGGCACTCGAGAAGGTGAAGCTTAGGAGTCACATTGCCTAACTTGCGTGCCAGAACCTCCGCTCTGCAGGTGGCCATGAAGGTGTGGATGGCATCACCCAGAACCTGCCTTGTTGCTGTTGTAAAAACCAGCTTGCCGCTGAACAGCTTGCAACATGCTGCATACTCTGTGAAGAGTCTCGAGTAGCGATCTCTCAAGGACTTTGCCTGGGCAAGCAGCTGAACCTCGCCGCTGTCCGCAGGTGTGCGGCTCTGCACGACTGTAAGGGGAACAGAAGTGAGGGCAGCAATGACATCCGGTTTCAACGCACGGTGTATGTGGTTGCCGACAAATGCTCCGGAGTGATATGCTTGCCGCTTTATTTGGTACTGTGGCAGTACTGCTTCCAAGGAAGTTACGCACGGGCCAGCTGCTTTTTTTAAATCTTTTACTGTTAATTTCTCATGCTCTTTTCGAGCCACATCACCTCTCATTCATCAAATTGAGTTCCTTTTCTTTCTCCTTCCATAGGAAGTGCAGATTTGATGCCACAGTCTGCAAGCCAGCAGCCACTACTTCCTGCTACTGAATGTGCAGCGTCACACACTGCAGCTGCCTAAAAATGCTTTGTGCTTCTGACTGTAGGTGTAGTTGTTGTGTTGCTGTGTCGTGTACGTTCTTGTAGGCCTTGATAAGTGCTGTAAACGTTGCAGAGTCACCGTCATCTGCAGCAAGTAACATACATTTGCTCAGTGCAATATCGATTTGATGTGCGTCAGCACAAAGTGCACCGTAAATCCAGGGATAAATCCCTAGATCTAGGTGGAGCACAGGAATACACACGTCTTGCAGCTCAACAGGAAGAATGGCTTTTCTAATCACGTTGTTGTAACGCCGTGCGTACTGCAAGTTGGCACCTGCTGCAACGAACTCTGTATTCAAAGCGTTCCGGCAGCAAGTCAGCAATTGCTTTGTATGGCGGTGATGCAATGTCGTACAGTTTCATCAGGGGAAAATCCATGCCAATTGTTGCATCGTCTAAATGCAGACTGGATGAGGCTGGAGCTACATGCATATTCATATGCATATTCATATGCATGGGTTTTTTGGTCATCACACAACACATTAATACTCAGTACAGATTCAATGGCTTTCGCATGATCTCTCACAAGGTGCTGAGTTCCACGGCTAGTACTACACAACTTTTCACCGCCTAACCTGCATACCAGCTGTAACTTTTCTTGGTGTTTTTCCATTTCAAATCCACTTAATGTTGCTAGAGATTTGGACCCAGCGGGGCCAACAAGGAATCAGCGGTGCCCCAGCAGTAACAAAAAACAGCTACACAGATACTCTTCTCCTCGGCAAAACTACCCTTGACGTGACGAAAACTCGTTGAGCACCTCAAGGAGGCAACAAAGTTCGGTGACTAGAACGATCGAACGGCAACAACTTCAGAGACAAATTTCCGTGAAGAATGGCTTTTCTCAGCGAAGGAAAGCTCAAATTCACTACTTTTTTCTTTGGCGAAGCATGGTCAGGATGTTGCGCAACTGTAGCCGCGAGGACAGCTTGACGCGGCGATCAGAAGTGGTGCTTTGGAGACCCAACTGAGCAGAGATTGCGTTCAAAATACACCTCCTTGAGTATACATTTTGAATGTTGAGAACGGGAAAGTCTCGGGAAGCGCCATCTCCTGTACAAAAACCAAGTGGGCCCGTTTTGTACTGTCGTAACAGCCGTGCCCCTAGCCACGCGCGTGGCTTTTGCCTGCTGCTCGGTTGTCAGCGATAACTATGGTTTGCCGTACGCTGCAAACCTACATATATCAGACTACTCACGATTTCAATCTGATCTCTTTTGAAGTCGTCAAAGTCTTTCATGATGCCGTATCGGGCTGGCTTGCGGCGCCTGTGTGAGAGTAGTCGCAATAGCAGCAGCACTCCAAGAACAAGAACAATGGGAATGACAGCTACAGCTGCGATGGCTGTCGGTGAGGATGACTTAATCAGTCCTTCTCTGGGTGTTTCTGCAGGGTAAAGAGGATCACCGATATTGGGATTATTGTTAGCATGATGAGGAGAGAAAGAATCGGGGAAAGTACCAACACCGATACAATGATCAATAACGGAACATGCACCTCTTATCATGAAAATACTTCTTAGTTCATACATTATCAATATTGTCACTTCAATGGGTCCTGGAAGCGGACCATCCATCCACTGACCAGGGATCAGGGAAGAGGAATTTTCAATGAATAGTCCCACTGAAACGCAAAGTTGCACTGAGCCAAAATAAACTTCACACATACACTAACAGTATAGAGTGCAGCTCACAAGCAAGTAAACACACACACACACACACACACACACACACACACACACGGTGTTGGGTAGATGAGCATCAGTATTCTCAGCGTTACCTGCACTGATGACTCCTGCACTGTTTGCTGCATACAGGCGAATGACTGCGGTCTCCTCGGCACCGCCAAACCAGACCGTTGAGTTCTCCAGACCCGTGAACAGCGTTCTGTTCTCTCCATTGCTGAAGATTGCCAAGACGGCGAAGTAGAGGATGCAGCCATTGGATTTGTTAGGCTGCATCCACTCAATCAGCAGGTTATCGTTTTGCGGTGTGACAGTCGGTGGAAGCAGACCCTCCGGTGCTGCAATATATAGAACACAAGAAACATGACATTACATGACACTACAAGACATGAATGCGTAGAAGAAGGTGGCTTCTCCAAACGTTGGAGCTGGCGCTTCCTGCCGCCTGCATAGCACAGTACAAGTACAAAAGTGGTTGGAAGATGTTCTGCCTAAAAAGCCAGTTAACTTATAATGTTTTGTACAGTCACCTACCTGTGCCTATATATTTGGCATAGTGCATCCATATGTAATTTGACCCCGCTTCCTATTTCACACCTTCGCGTACGCACATGCACCTCGCATGCACCAGCGGTAACTGTTGCGTGCCTGTGCTGTTTTACATGCCTACTCTGTTCCCCGTGTTCTGGACTTCTCCTTCTGTCTTCATCAAGTTTAGTTTGTAATTCCTACCGGAGTGTGATGGTCGTGTTGGACTGAGAGAGTGTGCATGGGCATTTACCCTTAGTGCTGTTGCAGTAACGCAACACTTGGTGTCAGAACTGGTACCCAGAACCCTCGCCACCGGACCCGCTCGCCATGGCGAAATTTCAGCCCCCTGAAAGCTTCGACTTTTCCGCACCTGAGAATTGGCCCCGCTGGAAAAGCCGATTCCCACGCTTCCAGATTGCTACCAAACTCTCTTCCGGATCCGCAGATGTCCAAATCTCCACTCTCATCTACTCTCTGGGCCCAACTGCGGATGATATCTTCCAGCGTGAGTTGTCCTTCACCCAAGATTCCGACAAGGACGACTTCGATAAAGTGGTCGATGCTTTCGACAAGTACTTTGCACCTGCGGACAATGTTATCCACGAACGGACGCAGTTCGCTCGTCTCCGCCAGCTCCCCGGTGAGTCCGTAGCCACGTTCTCAAGCCGACTCCACTCTGTCGCGGCGAGATGCCGTTTCGACAAGCCGTCAGAACGGATCCGCGATCACCTCGTCGCCCACATGGCTGATTCTGAAGTGAGTAAGGCGATGCAGAAAAAGGACATAGGCTCCCTTACCCTCGCCGATGTTCTCAAGGAGGCCAAGGCAGCTGAGACCCTCGAAATCCAGCTAGCCACTCAGCGCTCCGCAGCCACTCAGCCCTCCGTCGCAGCCGCTGTCGCTCGCGGACATCACAAACAATCTCGTGGAACTGGCAGACCGAAGAATGCTCCCGCTGCATCTCGCCAGTCCGCGCCTAGCTACTCGACACTTGGCCCTCCAGCAACCTCTGCTCCGCGCGCTCCCTGCTCCGGCTGTGGCTCATCCAGTGGTCACTCGCGCCGCGAGTGTCCTGCTTGGTCCGTTTAGTGCCGTAAGTGCCAGCGTCGTGGTCACTTTGCCAAAGTGTGTCGTAGCTCTCGTCAAGTGGGCGCGAGCGAGATGTCTGACCATCCGGTGAGTGATTCTGCTAGTGCTAGTGCGAGTTGTTTTATGGGTAGCGCTTCATCCGAGTCACAGGAACCCAGTATCTGTGTTTTGAGTTCAGTATCCATTCCTGACTCAACTGAACCCTGGCTTGTTGAGCTCCCCATCAATGGCCAGTCAGTGTTGTTCAAGCTGGACTCTGGCGCAGACTGCACACTCCTGTCACTGCCTTCCTACAATAGCCTCAGTCCTCAACCTAAGCTCACGCCGATCTCCACTAAGGTCACTGGACCTGACGGCCAACCTCTACCCATACACGGCGCATTTGTTGCTGCCAGCTCCTGGAAGGACCGCAACGTCACTTTCCGTGTTATTGTTGTTGATGGCCCCAGCAACCTCCTGAGCCGCAGTGTGTGCCAGGACCTGAACCTCCTGTCTTGCGATGTATCCTAGGCATCCGCAAGCCCTCCGTCCGCTCCTCCTGTCATTGGTCGCATGTCCGGTCCTGCAGCTACCATCGAGCTGCAAGACAATGCCCAACCATATCACTGCCAGACTGCACGAAGAGTCCCCATCCACCTGCAAGCCAAGGTCAAGACCGAACTTGACCGGATGGTCCAGATGGGAGTCATCTCTCCAGTCACCGATCCGACCGACTGGTGCGCGCCCATGGTGCCCGTGCTCAAGAAGAATGGCTCCGTCCGCATCTGCGTTGTTTAGGACTCTTTCCCCTTCGGTGAAGACTGTATTAAATTCTAATTGTTCGAACTCTGGTGTAGTGAACTGACACTCGGAAAACAACGTGCAGACATGGAACACAACTAAGAATGCAGAGAATGAAACCAGGAAAACGCAAAAGGCAAACAACAACCACACCTGTCACTAATCTGGGCAAGAAGCTAACCACCATTCTCTCAAACTTGACAAACTCTCTCTCTCAAATCGCTGTCCTCAGCGAAACGTGCCCGTGTGCGTGCATTGGCTTGCGCGTACACAACGACGTGGCATAGAGAATGCAGCGTACAGAAAATGCATGAATCATCGTAGCCATAGAGATACTCGCTAGGCATAGCCCGATTTTGCTAGCAATTCTGCTAGCAAAATATCGAAGAATTTTGTAAGGGAATTTGCTGGCAAAACGGAGCTAAATATCGGTGTGTTCGCTGGAAATTGGAAGATTTTATACTTATACTGTGCACGTGACTCATATTCGCACAGTTTTACCAACACGTGACTCACTTTTTCTCATTTTTGCTAACATGTGACCCACTTTCGGTCAGTTTTCCCACACGTGATACAAATTTTGGAGCAAAATATTGAGCGGCCTGGCAAAATGAAAGCAAAATATCGACTATGAGGCAGCAAAATTTTGCGGCAAAGTATCGAAGCTTCCCTGGCAAAATCGTGCTTTGCCTACTGCCAAAGTCCGCGTGCACGTGCACGTGCAGCGCGGAGTGCACTGCACTGTGCAGGTGCAACAAAAAAGAAAAGCAATAATAATTTTGAATGCAGAACAAAACAGAAACTAGCAATCTGCTGAAGTGGAAGACTAAAGAATTGTTGATTACGGAGGTGAAAACAGTGTCTGTCAAGGGGTGCTTGCACCCAGCGACAGGGTGACAGCACACCCTGTCAGCGAGAGTAAGTTTCGCCAAGTAGATCGTAGCGGAGTTGCCGCGGATGGCGATAATGCAACGGATCAAGTACTAGTAAGTACATGTACATTGCAACCAAATTAGTGTGTCAACAATTCTACTTTAATAAATTAGCACGATTCACAAGATATTCCGCTCGTGAACATGTCGTGGTACGAACACGCATAGCAATTACTGTATCGTAAAATGTGTCTCGACGTAGACGTAACAGATATGCACTCGTGATGTAACAGATCTAACAGACTAACAAATAAATATTACACTCGCGAAATGCATAGCAGTAATACGCACCGCACCAATATTGCAAGCGACCTAGCATGTCTTGACAATACTGCCCTTGCAGCATGTGACAGTTCTGTACACAATTCGTAACTACAATACACTAATAGTATCAACGTGCAACATGTGACATGTGATAGTTCTGTACATGCGTGGATCTCAAACGCCTGAACCAGTCCGTGAAGCGTTCACACTTCACTCTGCCGACCATCGAAGACACACTGGGTAAGCTGTCCGGAGCCAAGGTCTTCTCGTCGCTTGACACGGCGTCTGGGTTCTGGCAAATGCCCCTTGCTGACGACAGTGCGTCACTCACTACGTTCATGACACCGTTTGGCCGGTTTCACTTCAACCGTCTACCCTTTGGTATCACCAGTGTGCCAGAGGTTTTCCAGCGTCGCCTACTGGAAATCGTTGGGCACATTCCCAACGTGGTCGTCTTCATGGATGACATCCTCGTGTTCGGTGGCACTCTAGCTGAACACGATGCTGCCCTCACTGCTGTCCACGCAGCTCTCGCTTCTGCAGGCGTACTCCTCAACCCCGCCAAGAGTCGCCTCCGTATGAAGTCCCTGACGTTCCTGGGTCACCTCATCGGTGCTGACGGTGTCCGCCCAGACCCAGCCAAGGTGTCTGCCATCCAAGCTCTGAAGTCACCGACCGACCAACGTGCCCGAGTTACGCCGTGCACTGAGCATGTTCACGTTTCTGTCGAAGTTTGTGCCAGATATGGCCAATGTCAGTGCCCCGCTCCGTGCTCTCCTGAAGGCCGACACCGCCTGGCAGTGGGACACCCAGCAAGAAACTGCCTTCTGTCGCCTCAAGGAACTCGCTACTACTGCTCCCTGCTTGGCACTGTTCTCGCCCGACCAGCCCGTCCGTATTAGTGCTGATGCCAGTAGCTACGGACTGGGCGCTGTCCTCCTGCAGCCTGATGGCTCCCGCTGGCGCCCTGTTGCCTATGCGTCCCGCTCTCTATCTCCTACTGAGCAGCGCTATGCCCAGATTGAGAAAGAGTGTCTCGCCATCGTTTGGGCATGCGAGCATTTCCACCACTACATCTACGGCGGTCCTCAGTTCACAGTCGAGACTGACCACAAGCCTCTCGTGCCTCTCATCAACTCCGCTGATCTCGCCCGCTCTCCTCTGCGATGCCAGAGACTCCTGATGCGGCTGATGAGGTACAACCCAACTGCTATCCACGTGCCCGGCAAATTACTCGTCATTGCCGACACCCTATCCCGTGCTCCGCAAGAGTCCTCGCCTACTAGTGATCTTGCTGATGAAGTACAGCTGCATGTGTCTGCCGTCACATCGCATTGCTCCACCGACCCGCTCTTGGTCGACGTTCGGAACGCGACCAACGCTGATGCCGACATGTGTCGCCTCCGTGCCCTCATCCTCAACGGGTGGCCAGCCAAGCCCACCTCGGTCCCCGCTAGCCTCCGCCTGTACTTCGCTGTTCGCGATGACCTCTCAACTGCTGATGGTCTCATATTCCGTGGCCAACGTGTCATCATCCCTGCATCCCAGCGCAACGCCACCCTTGCCAGTGCTCACGAGGGTCACCACGGCGTTGGTAAGTGTCGTGCTCGTGCGCGCGCTGTGATGTGGTGGCCTGGTATGTCTACGGACATTGAGTCGTATGTGATGTCTTGTGCCACCTGTGCCAAGGCCCGTCCTAACCCAACCGAGCCGCTCATCTCGTCCGAGTTCCCATCTCTTCCATGGTCAAAGATCGCGTGTGATCTGTGTGCAGCCAAAGGATCCACTTACCTAGTTGTTGTCGACTATTTCACTCCTGGGTCATCTGCCCGCCGAAATCGTCGCCACATGCGTGCGTTGCCATCCACGTCAGCTAAACACCCTGATCCCTCCCGCTCACCCTCCTCCATTGAGCCCATGTATGAGGTTGAGTATGGTGTTCCTGTTCCTGTGCATGTTGCCCTGCAACCACCAGCTCACTCTACTCTGCCGCCTCTTTTGCCTGTGCCGCAGTCTCCTCGAGTTGCTAAGCCTCTGCCACCCGTTCGCAGACCACCATCCAGCCGTGTTCGCCATGCGCCGCAACGCTATGCTGACAATACCTGAACACAGTAACACTGTTTACTCCATGTGTTCCATTTGAACTATGGCTGTGTTCTTTTCAAGTTTTTTTCTCTCTATCATTCTGAGTAATGCTCACTCTGGTACCCGCTTCAGACCTGCTCTCGTTCCTTTTCCTCTCTCCTTTGCTCCCCACTTTCTCGTGTCCCTCCGTTCGCATTTTTTTTCTGGGGGAGATGTACAGTCACCTACCTGTGCCTATATATTTGGCATAGTGCATCCATATGTAATTTGACCCCGCTTCCTATTTCACACCTTCGCGTACGCACATGCACCTCGCATGCACCAGCGGTAACTGTTGCGTGCCTGTGCTGTTTTACATGCCTACTCTGTTCCCCGTGTTCTGGACTTCTCCTTCTGTCTTCATCAAGTTAAGTTTGTAATTCCTACCGGAGTGTGATGGTCGTGTTGGACTGAGAGAGTGTGCATGGGCATTTACCCTTAGTGCTGTTGCAGTAACGCAACAATAATGTTAGGCCACACGTTTTTATTTCTATGTTTCTCGTCACCCGCGCGCATACGATTCAGGAGTCTGGAAGAAAAAAAGAAAAAAACTGTGCTGCACTGACTGTGCATGTGGGGACCAGCACACTCATGCACATGTAGATAATGTGGCCTGGCCTGCGCGACACATGATGCAAGGACGGCATTTTTTGTGCGCAATCTAGCTGCACATGCACAGATTGTGACAGAAGCTCCTACCACATAATATAGTTGCTAACTATGGATGCTATTTTGCATGGTGTATTGGTGGATTTTTTTATTTTTCGGTCATTTTTTTATTTTTTTCCACTTCTTGCATACGTTTTTAGATTTTCAGGTGACGAGAAACATAGAAATACAAACGTATGGCCTTAGAACACTAACACAGCTTGCGGTGTTGAAAGTATTGATACCTCAGACGGTTACACTGCCCAACCCTTCAACATAATGGCGTATTCACACATTGAAGTTCCTAAACAAAGAAGTGTCACATGGCACATGGGAGTTGTAATATCAACAAGATGATGCCGTGTCAGATCCCTATAAAAGGTTGCTCTTACGTGCTTGTGGCAGCTCGGCCAATACCCATGCTGAAGATGGGGAGCGAGATGGCAGAAGAGAAGACACTTGAAAGTAGGTAGCAGTGTGCGGAGAGAGTACTGTAAGGCTTGCTTGCAGGCCAGACACGTCAAACAGCCGTCGCCTACACGGAGTAGAGTCATTCAGACTTCCGACGGCGATGAACTGTTGATCCTGGCAACCCGATGGTCCAACAGGCATGAGGTCACATTCCAGAATGGTCAGAGTTAGATTGAAAGTGTCTTGTAGTACCTGTCTGGGGTTAGTGATCTCCCACTGTACGGTGGCAGATGTTCCATTGTGAACTTCAATCCGTAAGTCATCAGCCAGTAGCGGGTTGTCAGAGCAGGACCTAGAGGAGAGCAAGTTATCGAATGTCATCAGCGGCTGCGATCTGGTTCCTGCGCGGACAGTGACCTTGTGGCCAGCTACCGTCAGACTGGCATCAATGCCCGACGATGGACTGCTGGAAGCGTTGGATGTTTGATAGAAGTAGTGCTGTCGTTCCAATGATGTTGTGCCAGTCGTACTCTGCGTAACTTCCAGCAGTGACATGCCTATGTTTGACAGCTCAAAGTTGGCATCCAACGCGAGCGAGAACACCTGTTGATCAGGGCTGAATGCCGTCTCTACTAATACACCCGTGTCACCAGACACCGCAAGAAGTTGCCCCTGTACTACCGTAGACTGATTGGTGAAGTCCGCTGCAAAGCTCTCGTTCTCGTGAGACAGGTGCACGACAACACGAGTCTGATTGGAGATGGGCATGGCATTTGCACGTGCAAGCTTGACGGAAACAGTGAGCATGCACTGTGATTGCAGGCTGGACACTGGAACAATAGAGATTGGTGGAACCAACGCGTAGATGAAATCAACAAGGTACTCGGAGAGGAAGCGTGCATCGTCAATCAGTATGGTACCGTCTTCATTGGCATCGAGCTCTTCAACTTGTGCAGAAAGAAGAGTGTTGGCTAAAGCTTGGCCTCGAGTAGTTCTGAAATCATTCCCTCTCTCAGCGAGATAGATCAACGTGAAGGTAACATCGTTTGCATCAAAGCTGCAATCGCCATTCGTATCTCCAATCTCCCTAGCAGCAGTGCATGTTGCACATGATATACTGGTGCAGGTAGATGTTGCACTAGCAGTGTTGCGACGATGTCGTTCTGCGATGACAGGCACCGCATTGCCGCTCGGACTGGTGAAGCGACGTTGACGGTTTGCGCTGACCACTTGGAAGAAATCACCGGCAATAAACGGCTGTGGTGTTGGTGCACCGATGGTGATGGGATTGAGACCACTGTACGTAGAGATGGTATTCACCATGCCACTGACATGAGCCATTCCTGGTGCCTTGGCCATGAACTCTATGATGAGAATGTTCAGAGAAGTGCCTCTCGGAGCACCCGAGCTAATGTCGGAGCACGTGGCACGGATCTCACCTGGATCACCGTAGTTGAGTGTGCAGCTGACTCGACTGCTCCAGCTAGTGCCTTCACTTACTTTGCTCACTGACAGCACGGCTGAATCATAGATAACAAGACAGTCCAGCATGTTCACTACACTGCTTCCAGAGTTCACACGCACAGCAGCGGTGAACGTCGTGTCAGTCCGTCTAACCGGCAGCGCCACCCCGGAGGCCTGCCCGATGTCTACATCGCCGATGGCGGGGTCCAGGTTGACGGTGAACGGGAGAGTATGGCTCACCGTGGTGCAGTTGCTGCCGCACTGGGGAGTTGGCATGGCAATGGCTGTGACTAGCGCCGCGTCGAGAGGAGAATTGATCCTTGGTGTAATGACACCGGTGGTCATACCTGTAGTATTGGCATAGCTGTTACTGGTAAACCTGAGCAGGTTAGGCAGGGCTGGACTGGAAGCAGAGAGATAGTTCGGGTGTTGTGTGCTGTCTGAGAATGTTACCGCAACGGTGAGTTGGTGCTGGGTAACAAGCTGCATGCCTCGCAGTGTGTTCCTCGGCAGAGAGTGAATTCTCAGGGAAACCACCTCAACTGGTGTGGTTGAAACCTCAATCAACAAGAAGTTGGCAACATCCCCATCAAAGCTGGCTCCAATTGTGATGTCACCATTGGCTTGTTGTGATGGAGAGACACTTAACTGGAATTCATTACTTGATGTGCGCCTCAGCTGTTCCGAGAGCAAAGAGTCGGTGCTGTATTCGATGTATACATCTGTGCGGTTGTGCGCACTAACATCGACGATTTGTTTGTCTGTCGTCACCAGCTGTATTCTCATGGTGGCCTGTTGGTAGACGCCTGTGTTTGCGAGAGGGCTCAAGACCGACAAGTGATGTGAGCCGGATCCTGTGTATGATGGATACGGGTGTGACGCCAGCTGTACCACGTCGGTCAGTACAAGCTGGAGCGTGACAACAGCCGTCAAGTTAGTGTGTACAAAGGAGACTACCAGATCAGTGGTGCCGGTTCCAATTGTACCCGATGTTACCGACCCATTACCAGAGACTTCCACACTGCCATCGGCATTCCTGGTCAGAATGAACAGCGAGTTGCTAAGCGTGTAGACTGTACGTGTGTCAGATGTCATAGGAATATTAGCTAGACCTGATGACGTGCTGAAAACTAGGTTAGAGGTGATCTGTGCTCTGCTTTGCACACCAGTCTGCCTCAGTGCATCACCAGCCAGTGTTAGTCGTGTTGTACTGGCAAATAGCTCAGCTCGCACAGGCGCGGGAGTGACAATATTTAGCATGGCCGTACCGTTGGCAAGAATCCTGACATCACACTGACCTGACGATAGGGTTGCCAAGATTAGTTCTCCACTGCCAGAGCCACGAGTAGACACAGTCTGGCCTGCAACGGTCAGCACGGCTGTATTCAACGATGACAGTACTACACCATCGGCCTGAGTTACAATCTGTGCCTGACCGTCGCTGAAATGTGCAGCAACAATAAGGCTGGCCATCTTGCCTTCCAGGTTGAGGTCTTGAATCAGTCGGGTAGTGATGAACGGAGCAGCTGCTGGTACCCACATACTTCTAGATGTCGGTGTGTTCAGTGTAAGATCCAGCCTGCTGACCACAGATATACTGAGTCCCACAACAGACACTGGTGCAGAGGAGGTTACTAGCAATGGCAAGCTGGCAAGGGGTGGCCGACTGGGGACAGGGTTAGGCAAAGCTGCAGCAACAGATCCAGGCATGATGCCAGTTGCAATGGAGCCATTCAAAGAGACTACAGTTGGCTTGTCAACACGCAGATAGGACTTGGCTGTGTCAGTGATGTCAACACCAGGGATGGATACTTGTCCATTGCTGAAAGTGCATGAAACACGTAATGCAGTTTGTTGATAGCGAGCATTGCAGCCATCAGCAGCATTCCGCCATGATGATACCAAGGACAGCTCATCGTCATCTGTGGACAACTTGAAAGATGTTGGATGCCATACAATAATAGACACGCTAGTTGTCACACTTCCAACGCTAACACCGATGCGGGCATTATGCGACCCGGCTGTCTCCATGCCGTTAAGAATGACATGCGCACATGAAGCATCAACAGATGCAACACTGGTAGAGTTACTGGTACATGATGCTTGACCTGTGGTGCCAGTAGTTCTGCCTGATACGTATCCAGCCACTACAGTCATAGTGCTGAGAACTGGCTGACCAGTCACTACAGCTGTGTTGACCAGTTCACTGGAGTCCACATCAGCAAATACGGCTACAACAGCATCAGCATCGACAGACACAAGACCAGCTGTGCTGCGACCAAACTGTCCAAATGTGATGGCTGCAAAGGGAGATGAAGCACCGCTGGGCTGTACTTGTCCTAGCTCTGTGACCAGACTGCTTACACTGCACTGTACAGAGGTGTTACTGCCCAGGCTTGCCGACTGTGTTACCGTCAGCTGCAGTGAGAACAAATGTGTTCTGCCAGCGGTGAAGGCTGGACGAGAGGTTGCCGTTGCAGGTATGAATGCTGGGACTGACAGAGATGCCCCAAATTGCGACATTTGATAGTCCCAAGCCTGGTCAATGATGATGCTGGAAGATATCTGCAAACCTGGTCCACTCGTACACTTGATGTTGAAACCCTCCACTCGGTCGGCAGTCTGACTGCTCACCCTGACTTCAAACGCATCGCCACGGTAAACTGGTTCCCTTGACAACTCAACGAACACATTGTTATCTGCTACTGAGTATGACGGGAGAGGTTGGAGTTGAACAGTTTCAAGACTTTGGGTGAGCTGCTGTGGCGAAAGGCCAAAAGAAATGCTAGCAGAAGCTGGCGACGTTCCAGCTGTTGGGAAATCTGATTTCTGCAATGTTATCGTGACAGTGCATACACCTGGCAGGGCCACAGACATACAGCTTGATGTCTTAGCTGTCAATGACGATCCCTGTATCCTGACGTACACTGGGCTGCGGATCAATGTCTTGAAGTATGCTGCCTTCACCTGGGCTGCAATGGTGATAGCAGCACGACACGTTGAGCCAGTTGGTGTGCAAAATACCTGAGTTGAAGCGCTCAGCATGGCTGCTTGCACAGTCGCTGGAGGATCACTGGCGTAGCTAAACATCCGGGATGCAGACAGACTTCCGAATGTGGTCCTGACTTCACCGCTTGGTCCCGTGATCAGGCCTAAATAGCTGGTGTAGCTCATTGCACTGGTGTTAGAGACAACACCTTGTACAACACTTAGACCACCGGTGGCACTGAGAGTGGGAGTGAGAGCTAGTGCAGCTACGTGGATTACTATCATTGCTGTACTGGATAGAGCAGGGTGACCTTGATCACTTGCCACAACCTGCACACTGAACTGATCTACGTTCAGATCATGCAGAGATGCCGACACTGTCAGTTCACCCGATGTAGCATTGACCGACACGGGTATCTGTTGAGATTGCAGTGATGAAACACCCAGTGAGAAGATGACGGTGCCGTTACTTCCCAGGTCCGGATCGGAGGCAATGAAGCGTGCCACTGGCTCACCCACCACGGCGGTATCATCCAGTCTGGCAACCGATGGTGCTTGATGGAATTTGGGTGCGTTATCGTTGACATCCAACACAGTAACCTGCATCACACCATCACTACTCAACGACGGCATACCATTGTCAGCAGCAGATACATTCGCAGTGAAGAATGGAGTTGTCTCGCGATCTATTGACACGAGATTCTCCACCACCCCTGTAGAGGCATTGATGCGGAATGTTGTGATCAAGTCAAGCAGTGTGAACGATACCAAAGAGTTTTGCGGCGATACATCGCGATCCGTTGCAGATACAGTGTGTAGTATAGAATGCAACGGTGTGTTTTCAACAATGGAGAAGTTCAGTGTGTTGCTATCAAACACTGGCATGTTATCGTTCTCGTCCAGCACACGGATATTCACAGACACAGACGTGCTGAGATTGGACTGTGTGGACAAGTCATACGCTGCTGCAAGCACCGTGAGTGAATACGCCAACACCTGCTCCGCATCTATGTTATCCTGGGAAACCGTGATGTTTCCCGTGAGCGGCTCAATGCTGAAGGAACCTCGTCCGTTGCCGCTGATGATGCTGTACGTGACTGTTGCGTTATCACCCACTGCCAGCACAGAGCCGACTGGTGTAGACACTGCACTGTTCTCCGGGATATCCATCATGTACTCTGATTGATCAAATGTGGGAGCATCCACTGCATTCACCGTGATGTTGACCGTGATGTCATCGGTTAGCGAGGGGTTTCCCCCATCACTCACTAGTAACTGCAATGTGTAGTACTGACCACTAGAGTTAAGCAGAACACTGTCTGTGCTGAGTATGCCAGACTGAGAGATAGTAAAGAAGTGTGGCGGTGCACTGGTAGCTAGAATACTGTACGCCAGCTGACCTTGCAGACCGGAGTCCTGGTCAGTGGCAAGGAAGTCTCCAAGAACAGTTTGTGGCCATGTATTGGCCTTGATCGATAACACTGGATGTAAATCGGATACATTGAACACTGGTGGCTCATTGATATCAGTGACTTGCAGTAGGAATGAACGGCTGTTGTTGGCCGCCCCGAACCGGTCCAAGCCAGGCCTGGTCACATGCACTGTGATGTTGTAGACTGGTGTTTTCTCATAGTTCAGTGCACCAGTCACTGTCAGTTCTCCTGTGGTTGCAGAGATCTGCACAGGCAGTGGTTGCAAGGAGCTGAGGTAGTAGACCTTGGAGAAGTTGCTCCGAGTGTTGGCTGCGAATGTAGCAATGATCATGTTGAGTGGACTGTTTTCAGGAACGGCCAGAGAATCGTTGAACATTTCGAATATTGGTGGGCTGAGCACATCAGGAACATCTGGTACACTCACAACAATCACAGTCGTCGTTGCAAGTGAGTGGCCTGAAGATGGTGTGTCAAATGCTGTGATGTTGACAATGTACACATCTTTCTCTAGCAGTAGATCGGTAGTGTATACCTGGCCATCGGAGTCAATTCTGAATGCGTTGCTGCCCGAGAGGCTGAAGTTGAAGCGAGCATTCAGTAAAAGGTCTAGATCGATGGCACTGACGTTGAACACAGGATCGCCGGGTGGCATGTGTGCACTGAGCGTGATGTTTGCTGGTGTACCGACAGTGAACTGTGGTGCATTGTCATTCACATCCAACACTGTCACTCGTACATTGGCATCAGCTGTCAGCAGCACACCATCAATGACAGTAGATACAGAGACAGTGAAGGTGAATGTTGCGATGGCTTCCCTGTCGAAGGGTCGAATTGTCGTCAGAATAACCGCCGAAGCAGTACTGCTGTTCACAACAAAGTGTGACTTAATAACTGCATCATTCGGCAGAGTGAAGTGCAGTTGATACGGAGAAGATGGTGGAAGGGTGCTGTTAACTGAGACGTTGAAAATTATGGCAGGAAGAACAGTATTCTCCAGTACAGTCTGTACAACAAGAGCAGGTGAGATGACCAGTACTCTTGCAGATTGTACACGACACACGGCTGTAGTTAGGGTGTTGTTCAGCCGAGCTTCAGGATTGAAGCCGTTCGACGCAATGAAAGATACACGGACGGACGGAGTAGCCATGATGTTGAGAGAAACGGGTGTGTTGAAAAGGAATGGTGGAGATGGATTGCCTCGGGTGACCAACTGCCGATCTACACTGCTACCGCCGAGAGCATCAAACGTTACTTGAAGCAGACTCACTCCAATAGTCTGAGAGGTGAAGTTCACCGGGGAGCTAAAGCGGAATGTCCCATCACCTACAAACACTGCAGGTAGTACAGCCAGAGATGGGCCTGACGCTTGTGAGACGTTCAGTGCATACGACGCAAGCTGCACACCCAGACCTATTTCGTTACTGGCCAACAAGAACGCAACCGTTGTCTGCCTGCCGTCAACAGGCACATCACCTTTGTTCAGTAAACGCACCTGCAGTGTCAACGAGCAGTTAGAGCCGAGTCCTTGCACTGGTAGGATGTTGAGTTGTCTCATGAAACGAAGTAAACCAAAGTTGACTAACAGCAGATACCGAGCATCACTCACATCGATGACACCATTTCCATCGGCATCCAGTTCAACAAGCCGATCCGACACGGTATCCAAGCCAGTCTTGATAGTGGCACCATTGCTGTCCATGAAGTTCTGGGCTTTACTAGCCAGGTACTGTTGAACAAACGTTACATCACTGACGTCAAACAAGCAGTCGCCATTAGTGTCACCAAGTTGACGTTCTCCACCAGTGCATTGAGATGCAGGACATGGTGGAATGGAACACGCTGTAGTCGCCTGGCGTTTTGACCTGCGATGGCCAACAATGCCGGTGGTTTGCGGGAGCAGGTCTTCTTCAACTGACCGTCTCCCCACAGACGACGACATCACGGCAAGAACAAGGCCATCGGCGGCAGCACTTTGTCGCGGTGTTGCTGCACCAATATCCCTGGCTGGGACGTCTTGTGATTTGAGCGTCACAACTTCCAGAGCAAGGAAGCTAGTGCCACTGGCAATGGCCGTCACAGTCACGGTAGCGAGATGCAGTCTACTTCCAACAACAGTAACAGACGCTACTGAGCCTCCAAATCTAACTTCACTAACAGGGTCATTAGCCACACCATCGAACAGCGCTGCACTCGGCCAGTCATTTCCACGTGTTATATCTGATCTTTGGGCTACTCTCACCAGGGTGGAGTTGAAGGAAAGGTGGAAATCCCATGATCCAAGCCGCAGGTTGGCTGTGTTGACATAGATAGGGATAGAGTAGGTATAGCCCACAGTGACAAGTGAGAGTGCCAAACCATTCCGCTGTCCCATGTCGACATCACCAGAATCAGGATCAAGATTGCACGGGACGTCAACAGTGTTGCTAATCGCAGAGCTAGTGTCCTGTGCTGTTATTCTGACAGGGGATAGCAGTGAGTTGCCGAGCAAGATTACCGTACCAGTGCTGGAATCAATGGAAGCTACACTTGGATTGGACAGTGAGAGGTTCAGCAGGCCTGGCAGTGGGCGTACGGATGTTGAAAAGACAGGATACTGCGCCGTGTCATTGAAGATGACCTGTACAATCACCTGTGCTCTTACTTGGCTCCTGAGCCCAGTTAATTGACTGGGATTGCTAGTCAACGAGAGACTCTGCACTACTACAGGTGTGCGTGACACGGACAACACCAGAGGTACGGCAGATGTCAGCTGTAACAGCGTTGCATTGATCGTCAATGTACCAGCTGGCACTGTGTGATCCGTGACCAGTACACGGCGTGATGCCCCACTGCCCGTAATGGTGACATTGGAGTCTGGTAGCCCGACTGTGTGCTTGGAATACTGAACAATGTCAGACACAGAACGGGTGCTACCGTCGCTCAGGTGTAGTACAGATGCAAGCAAAGCTTCTTGGAACACACCCGTACTTGCAATGGGGTGAACACTGTGCCTGATGAGGGACGATGATCCGGAGTATGTGGGGAACGGGGAAGCAGTTGTTGTTATTGCCGTTGCCTGGACTATTGTGAATGTTACTGTCCTTGCATACGATGCTGGCAGATGCGAAAACCCAATGGTCAGTGTAGCTGGACCCGAAGCCAATTGAGTCGGCTGCACTACAAATCGTCCACTTTGTACGCTGCCACTGACCAAGGTACTACCTGATGTAAAGTTAAACAACGTCCGAGAGTCAGAGACCATGTCCTGTCTCACACCGCTTGCAAACACCAAAGCTACTTGCAGTGACATTGCTGTGGGTATGTTACGCCGAGTGGATGGATCACCAGAGAAGGTAATGCGACTGACCTGGCCAAGGATACTGACTGATGTCGGCAGTGGCAGAGTGACATTGATAAATGCTTTGGCTGACACCAGGACATTGTCAGTGGAACAGTTTGAGATCAGGGCAACGTCCAGCAACTCCCCAGCTCCACTGCTCTGTTGAACAACAACAGTGCCTTTAGATGAGCCGGGTACTACAACGAGTGTGTCCAGAGAACTCACTCTCAGATCCTCTGCTGGCAGAATTTGCCGTGTGTTGTCACTGAACACTGCTGCGGCATGAAGATAGCCAAGCTGTCCTTCGAAATAAAACATGTGCGACCAGTCAAACGCCAGGTAGCCAGCAGACAAGGGCGCATTGACAACACTGGCGGAAGAGGAGAGAGCCGTCAGCACAGCCACGTCAATACCAGATATTGTGATGCTACTATCTAACACGCTGCACATCACTGAGGCAATGGTGTGTCCGCTGGCAGTGCCGCTTAGTTGCAGAGTTGTTTGGCCTGGCGCTACACCTTCCAGGATACCAGTTGTACTGTTCAGTACCATCACTGATGTGTTAGAGATACTCAAACGTGATAGAACCCGCTCCAGGACGTTGACAGTGATTGGACTGTCAATGCCGTTGGTGAAGTTTGCAAGCACTTGCTGTACGGTAGCAGTTTGGTAGCGAGCACGACACGAGGGCTGCTGCTGCTGCCAGCCATCGATCTTGCTCAGGGTGGTTGTAGAAAGAGTGATCTGGAGTGGGAACTGCGGCTGCCAGAGATGAACAAGAAATGAGCAACGTGCAGTGCCAACACTGACATTAATCAGTGCTTGGTGCTCAGCCATGCTGTGTTGATCTGAAACACTCACAGACCTGCAATCGCTGGCTACAATCAAGGAGAGTGACGATGACTGGCACGTGATGGATGATGTCAGCACACGGACTGCAGCCGAACGGAACACGCCGCGTGCCACAACACTGTATGTTTGGTTGATACCTGTCAAGGCGGCCATGTTGAATACTGGATTGCCGTCAAGATAAGCAAACACTGCAACTAGATCATTTTGTGCAATGTACACTCTTCCCACAGGGCTTGCCGGTGATAATCGATCTGAAAACCAAACGAATGTTGGAACAGCTCGGCCACCTGGCTGCAGGCCATCGTTGTTGATGTTTGTCAGTGTCTGAACTGTTGCAGTGAGGTTTGCAAACATGTTCTCCGCAGCGCTCGCTCGCACTCTCAGCTGCACTTGGAAGAGGCGTGTTGCTCCCGGTGGTGATGCAACGGGTGATGGTAGCATACCAGGCTGCAGAACAGCATTCACACTGACACTGTCAGCAGAGGTACTCACTACGGACTGTGCAGACCACACACTATCCGTGGACACTGAGTGTAGCACTTCTAGTGCGCTTCCCACCGACAGAGTGATGTCAAAGCCACTAATGGCAAACGAATCGTGTGCGAATGCCGACACGGTCAGCGTGTCACCTCGGAGATGATCATACGCGGGGAGCTGGATCAGGACATCATTGCTCAGCGTGACATTCTGCTGTGGATGAATGGTGATTGTTTCCGCAACTAATGCTGATATATCGCCTGTGTCGAGGCGAGCAGACAAGCTGGGCGAGCGTCTGGCTGTGAACCAGTCAGCAGTAAGCACTAGGTTAGCAATGCACTGGCCAGAAACCAGCTGACAGCTGCCACTCTGCTCCATTGCTGTGCCCTGGGCAATGGTGACAGTACCGGTTGCACTACTGATCCTTGAGTCACCAAACATGTCCATAGCGTGCAGTGACACGCGGACACGCGGCGAATCAAAATAAACATCGTCCGTTATGAGCGTTGCAGTGAGACTGGTTGCTGTTAGGGGCGGCGTTGCTTGTCGCAGTGTGAGCGACGGCACTGAGCTGCCACGGATGGCCACAGTTACCTGTGTTGTATCGGAATAGCTAATGTAGGAGAGGTTGAAACGGGATGTGGAATTTTCTGAACTGCTGATAGTGGTTTGAACCAGCAAGCCACTAGTGGAGTAGACCATGTCCTGGTGACGGAGACCAGCCAGATTGGCTGGCAATATGGTCACCTGTACAGTGGTGTTTGCACTGAGTGGAGGAATGGCATTGTCCACTGCAAGCACACTGAATGTATGCTGTCCTACATGACTACTATTGTACCCACCGCGGGCAGTAAGCACACCACTGCTTGCATTCATCACAAACAGTGACAACGCCACTGGGGATATACTAAATGCGATGGCAGGGCTGTCACGATCTGTGGCAGTGACTTGCAGCACAGCATAGCCAGGCTGAACAGAGGCTGACACAAGTGCAGTGTACAGTGCCTGGCCAAACCTTGGACCATGGTCATTGACATTAACCACACGAATAACAACAATGGCAGTGGCCGAAGCAAAACGGTTAGAGTTTGGATTGAACGCTGCAATTTGAAGTGTAAAACTGGGCGTTGTCTCCGTGTCAAGCTGAGCATTTGTAACAATAGCACCATCACTGGGATTTATGGCGAAGTGTGCCTGACCAGACCCGCCAGTAATATTGTACTGCACACTACCTGCACTACCTGTGTCCAGGTCAGTTGCTGTAACACGTGTGACAAGTGTACCCTGTGTTGCATTCTCCAATACGCTGACATTGTACAGCGGTGCTGTGAACATCGGGGCATGATTGTCACCATCCGTAATCACGACGGATACATTGACGGACGAGCTTAGAGCCGGGCTTCCAAGATCGGTGACAGTCAACAGTAGAGAGCATTGTGTGAAGTTGAGGACGTCCAGTAGCTGTGCTGTGTCGATGTTCACAGCCGTGTTATTGATGCTGGTGCTGCTGCCGGCCACACGGAATGACTGTGAGCATGCTGGCTGTGACGCAAGACTGACTACAACAGCAGCATTGGTACCTGCGTCACCGTCCTGGACTGTCAACTGAGCTACCACACTACCCACGGATACACTGTCCAAGACAGTTGCATTGTACTCCCTGTCCGTGAACACTGGGGTCTCGTCATTCACATCTGAAACGTTGATGCGAACTGCTTGGTCTGTGCTCACCGATACACTACTGAGGGGATTCTGAGCACGCACAGTTAGCATGTATGACGGCACCAGTTCACGATCTAATGGTGCACTCACACGCATGACACCAGAGGAAGAGTTGATTGTAAAGACACTGGACAGTGGTGATATGCTGTACGTGATGTCTGATGAGCGACCGGCGAAGTTGACAAAGATGGCCTGAACTGTAGCAATGTCAGATCCCAGACTTGCATTCTCAGAGACTGTGTAACTGGTTGGTGAGGTGAAGACAGGTCGCTGATCAACAAGACGGTTGCTCACTGACACCTGCACAGATGTGTATGCCTCGTATGCTGATGTGCTGTAAGTAGCCGTGGCACGGACTAGGAAGGTGTATAGTGGCTGACTAATGCCAAGGATCGAGCGGTTGAGAGACACCAGACCAGTAACGGCATTGACACTGAACGGCACGGTGGCGTCTCTCAGATCATACTGAAGCTGGCCACTACCACTACTTGCTGAAGCAGCAATACTCGCATTCACAGCACTGAATACAGTGCCCGTAGCGAGTGACTCGTTAATACTTGCACTGTATAGCACAGATGAGAACTGTGGTGCCAGTGGAGATTGCGAGACAATATTGATCATGATGTTAACAGAGGTGACCCGGGCAGGATCACCGGCGTCAGATGCAGCCACCAATAGAGAGAACACTGCTCCTGGACGATCAAGTCGCTTGGCCAGTTGCAAAACACCAGTTTGGTTTGTGATGTGAAACGTGTCATTGGTGTTGCCACTGACTAGTGATATGGTCACCAGGGCATTGGTACCAATGTCTGCATCCGAGATGGAGAACTGGATTATGGGTGTACCGACTGGTGAGCTGAGGGACACATTCAGTGTGTTAGTGAACTGAGCGAAGACAGGCGAGTTATCATTGACATCGGTGATAGTGATGGTGATGGTAGCATTGGCGGACGATGCACCGTTACCTTGGTCCATGACAGTAGCCGTCAAGGTGAACGTCACCATGCTCTCTCGATCGAGTGAGTCAGCTAGGTAGATTACCCCCGTCAGAGTATCAATGGTGAATGTAGCATTGTCATTGCCTGCTGTGATTGCGTATGTCAGATTGCCGTGAGTGCCAGCGTCACTGTCATTGCCCTGCAGCTGCAGTACACTGGCACCAACGGTGGTATTCTCCTGCACTGATGCGGTGTAGTGAGCCTGCGAGAACACAGGCCGTGCTTCGTTTGCTGGGCTGACGTTCACAATGACCGTGACGTCGCGTGACAGTGCCGCCACGCCAGCTGATTCTCTAGCTCTGACCGTGAGGTTGTACTGTTGTGTGATCTCATAGTCCAGTGGCCTTGCATTGGTCAGCAGACCAGTGGTGTTGTCAAGTTGAAACTCACCAGCCGAGTTCCCGGCAATGATCTCATACGTAATTGAAACACTCGACCCATCAGGATCAGATGCCATCAGTGAGACATTGAGCCCACCGATGGTCACACTCTCTGACACAGAAACAACATACGATAGCTTCGAGAACACTGGGTGATGCTCATTGACGTCACGAATGACGACAAGGAGATCCCGAGTTTCGGAAACCAGTGACATCGACGAGTATGGTATGGGATTTGTGGCACGGACAGTCAGGTTGAATGTTGTTTGGCTCTCAAAGTCCAAACCTTTGCTCAGCGTCAGGATTCCAGAACGCGAAGAGAGCAAGAAGGTTGAGTTATCATTGCCAGAAACAAGCTGATAGACCACCAAGGATGCATTGCTAGACTGATCAGCATCGGTAGCATTGAAGGCATACATCTGTTGTCCAGGCATAGTGTTCTCAGTCAGGAAGACTGTCTCAGTGCTAGCAATGGGTGTATTGAACACGGGCACATTGTCATTGAGATCTTCCACGGCAATGGTGATGGATGCGTTCACGCTTTGCGCAGGCAAGCCACCATCGGCAACACTGAACTGTACACGGATACTGGAAACTTGCTCTCTGTCCAGTGGCTGTAATGTGTACACCACACCAATACTGTTCACTGACACCCATCCTGCTGGTGTGGAGGATATCAAGGTGAATGTGATCCGGGCATTTGATCCAATATCACCATCAGTAGCATTAATATCCAGTACTATATAGCCAGCAGGGATGTTCTCAACCAGGTCAATACGGGCAGGTAGGTTGTGTAACACTGGAATGTTGTCATTAGCATCGGTGATGGCGACTGTGACTGTAGCAGTGGCTGAAAGGGGATTGTTGATACTGCTATCAATCACACTAACCGTGAACTGATAGCGAGACGACACCTCTCTATCCAGCGTGCCATTCACAGTGATCAGGCCAGACGATGCTGATATCACAAACGGGACAGTCCGGTTCGAGATGATGGAATAGCTCAACTGAGCATTGGTGCCACTGTCGCTGTCTACAGCTTGAGCAAGCAAGACAGACTGTCCAACGGCACTGCCCTCTACCACACTGATAGTATACGAACTTGAATTGAATTCTGGATTGTTGTCGTTCTCGTCCAGTACGTGGACGATGATTGTGACAATGGCTGGTACTACTGTCTCCTGCGGTCCGGTATCTTGAACCTCCACCTACAGTAAGTACACACAAAACACATCCAGTACATATTCATGATCATATCTACTGTTGTGTGACTCGATGATGCTGGAACGCAGACCTACTGTATAAGCAGGAAATTTCGTCGGTCAATAATTTCGTCCAACTCCAAAGAAAGGGAGTTCGTCCGGTTGTAAATTTCGTCCATGGATCATAAGAGTGTATTGAAAAGCTGGACAAATTAATATTAGTCCAGCATTTAATTTAGTCCAACAGCTCGTTGGACGAAAAAGACGAAATTAAATTCCAGACGAATATTTCTGCTTGTACAGTATACGGTAATGAAAACTCTTTAAAAAAAGATTATCCAGACACATTTGGTTCAAGGTTCAAACTCCCCGCCATGAGCAGACCAAAAGCTGCTGCTTAGTACCTTCCTAACTATCAAGACACACATACACACATACACACCCGTACACACACTACTACTACTACTACTGTAGCTTGGCTGCCACAAGGGCCACACCACTCCGAAAGGAGCCAGAGTCATTGTCAGGAGCAGAAACGGAGATGACGACTCAGGTCACTCTGTCGACGGAACTGACGGCTGCAGCGAGAACAGCGAACACCATATGACGCTCAATCAGACTTGGTTGCTCGATGGCCACGGTCGCACTTGTGACGTCTGAAACCAGGCACTGACTTGAACTGCCGATTGCATGTCACACACAAGAGAGAAGCTGGGACGTTGAGCGGAATAGGTGATGCCGGCGCGGACGCTTCCGATGGTTCCAGGGGCAAACAATGATGTACACGCAAGCCACCACGAGAGTGAAACCACCTCCTGCATGTACCACACTGCACAGCACCACGCTGTTCCTGGATGACACACACACACACACACACACACACACACACACACACACACGTGCACACACACACACACACACACACACACACATGCACGCACACACGCGCACATGCACGCGCACACTCACGCATACACACACATACACACACATATGTGTACACAGGCACACACACACACACACAGGCACACGCACACACACACATGTACACACACACGTACTCACACACACACATGCACGCACACACACGCGCACATGCACACTCACGCATACACACACATACACACACAGGCACACGCACACCCCCCCCCCCCACACACACACACACACTAACAAAATTCTCTGCAAACATCGTGGTTGCAAACAGCTTGCAATTGTGGAATACTGCGTGTTACCCGTATATTTTCAGTGTGGATAGTACAAAGGGTAGCAGTACCAGTGCACACTAATACGACAAACCCGCGTATCCAATACACAGAGTGGACACTACTCACACACAATCATACATGTAGCTTAACTCACCGTCAATGTGTACTTGGCAAGGGTTTCTCTATCAAGACTGGCGTTAAGACTGACCAATCCGGACATAGACACTGCAAACTTGCTGCCGACATTTCCACTGGTGATCCTGTAGACAAGCTGGGCATTAATGCCAGAGTCTGCATCGCTTGCATTCAGCTGGGCAATGCTAGCAGCCACAGTATTCTCCGGCACAGATACTTGTAATTGAGACACCGTCAGCCGAGGGCTGTTGTCATTCAAATCAATAATGTCAACAAGAAGTGTAGTGTGGGACGATAGAGATGGCATTCCTTCATCTTGCGCAGTGACAGTTAGGTTATACTGATGTGGACGGCCATCATAGTCTAGTGGAGTCAACGTACTCACTTCTCCAGTGCTTTCATTCACAGCGAACTGTCCCAAACCTCCAGTCAGGGAATACACAATCTGTGCGTTGCTTCCTACATCTTGGTCAGTGGCTGCAAGAGAGGCAACTGGAGTACCAGCAGGCTCGTTTTCCTCAATTCGAGCTGGAAAGAAACCAGTGCTAAACTGTGGAGCATTGTCGTTTACGTCAAGTATCGATATGACAACATTTACTGTGGAGAACAGTGGTGGAGCTCCAAGATCCCTCGCCTCAATCACCAGTAGATATTGACTGGTGCGTTCTCGGTCCAGCATGGACACCACCTCCAGCCATCCAGTGCTACTGTTGATGCTAAACACAGAGCCGTTGTTGCCGGTGAGAATGCTGTAGCGGACAAGGGCATTGGAACCTTGGTCACCATCACTTGCCAGCAGCTGTGTGACCGGATGTGGCAGCACAGTGACTCCTTCACTCACGTTGGCCTGGATGGTCGAGGCAGGGAATGCAGGCCGCTCGTCATTGAAGTCCAGTATAGTAATCTCTAAGAGAGTGCTGCTGTTCAAGGGCGGTATTCCATAGTCTTGTGCACGAATTTCCAAACGATAGAACGAGCGTGTCTCAAAGTCCAATTGTCCAATGACTGAGACCTGGCCTGCTTGATCAATACTAAAGCTATTTCCGATGTTACCGCCAATGATGGAGTACTGAAGAAGGCCGTTGAGTCCGGAGTCTTGATCGCTTACAGTAACATTGATAACTGCACTGTGCAGCGCAATGGACTCGGAGATGCTGGCGTTGTACACGGCACGGCTGAACTGTGGAGGAATGTCATTCACGTCCAGGATACTGACGATCAGCCGGGCAGTGGAGCTCAGCACGGGCAGGCGGTTAGCATCTACGGCAGTGACCGTGATATTGTACATGGCTGTCTGTTCATAGTCCAATGGTTGGGCAATACTCACAACACCACTCTGAGCATCAATGCTGAACACGCTAGAGCCTATGGAGTACAAGATAGCGTTGGAGTCAACATCGCTGGCATTCATTTCAACAACGGTGCTCCTCACCGGTGCTGATTCTGACAAGCTTATGGCCACTTCAGTCGGATCAAAGATGGGTGGGTTGTCGTTGACGTCAATCACTCGAACAAAGACAGTCAGCACTGAACTCATCGAGGGCAGTCCAAGATCGTACGCTTTCACACGCAGTGTGTAGTTAGCGTCCGTCTCGTAGTCCAGTTTTGATCCAATGGAGAGTTGACCTGATGTAAGATTCAACTGGAAAAGATTAGCACCAAAGTCAGGCTCTAACATGTACTGTACAATGCCATTGATTCCACTATCGGCATCAGTGGCAAGAGCAGTCAAGACCACCGATCCAGTGTCCCGTGACTCCGACACGTTGACTTTCACAGATGCATCCATGAACGAAGGAGAATTGTCGTTGACGTCCAGTAGCGTGATGTTAGCCATGGCTGTGGCTGTAAACTGACCATCAAACACACTGATCTGCAAGGAGTACTGGCGTGGAGGCACATCATAGTCCAGCAGACCCGAAGTACTCACAAGTCCAGTGCTGCTGTTGATAGCAAACAAGGTGAAATTGTCCACTAGCGAATAAACCAGAACTGAATCAACATCAGCATCGGTTGCCGACACCTGCAGCACCCGATGGCCGACTGGAGCATTCTCCATAAGTGGCACTGTCTGCTGTGCTGGGCTCACCACAGGTGCATTGTCATTGACCAGCGTGATTGCAATGCTCGCACTCGTGTTCTGACTGAACGCTTTGCCATCGCTGACTGTAATGAGAATTTGACGCCGTGCACTGGCGTCAGGCTCTGGGGCGCTGTTGTTGTATCGTAGACTACGCAATACATTCGTCATCTCACTCGATGATCTTGCAACAGGATTGCCCAGGCTATCAGCGAAGTAGAAGGCAAACGACGCCGGCGGAACAACCAGTCTTCGCGTTATGCTTGCAGAGCCTTCGATGGTCTCTTGTGACAAATCCCTAGCATTTGCAATGGTGACTATGATCTCTAAAATGTAGGAGTCTGGGTCAGCGATGTTGGCTGAACTGGCAATGTCGACTGCTGTGCCGTTCTCCGTGAACACTACGGGAGGCAAGATGGAGGGTGACACAACAGGGCGGTCATTAACTGGTGCGACTGCGATCTCCATGACGGTGAGGTCGCTGGAGAGCTGGCCGTCGGATACTGTCAGGAAGAGGCGGCGCGTTGCCGAGGTTGGATTGTCGCCTGGGTTCACATACTCGATGCTGTTCAAGGCTTGCTGATACGCCATCAGATTAGCAGTGCCTGATAATGTCAATGTGCCACTGGATGAGAAGTATTGGGTGCGTATTCCAGCGGGCACAGTAGCTATGCTCAACCTCTCACCGGCGTCGACTGGTGGAGATGAAAACTTTATTCTCGCTGACACCAGGCTGACTGAGTCGGCGTCAAAGACCCGTAGGGAATTCCCCGTCACTGGCAGCGGGCCATTGTCCTCCGAGAATGACACAGCGTAGATCTTCATGCCTGCAATGCGCACCGTTGGGGCGTTGTTAGTCGCAGAGAATGTGATGATTGACGTTGCCACGCTACTATTCAGCTTACCTTCACTGCAGAAAACACGCAGTCTCCGGATGGTGCCATTCTGCTCCAGACTTTCAAACGTTTCTCCAGTTTGGAGCGTGTACGAAAATCGAACAGAGCGCAGTGCCATCAGATAGTTTGCCGGCGTATCGGCACCCGTGAAGACGAGCGAATCTCCGTGCTGCTGGACAGAGATGGCCGTTTCGGCAGTGCTAGCTGTTAGATTGTCCGCTGCTGCTTGATAGCTGGTGATCTGCACTATCATCTGGGTAAGAAGTAAGTCATCGCTGTCTGTAATACTGGCGTTCGTATCAGCAATGTTTACGCTGGATACCGTTTCATTGTACACGACAACGTTGTCAGTGAAAGCGCCCAGGCGGAGCAGGGGTGCATCATTCTGATGCAGCAAGCTGACATTGACACATGCCAGATTGGTGAAGAACATTGCATCACTGGCCAGTATACACACCTCTCTCCATGGCACACCTGCCAGCTCATCAGCACTGTTGATGTATGTCAGGAGGCGAAGCACACTCTGGAACTCACTCAACGATGCAGGGCCAATCAGATTCAGGTACTGATCTGTCTGCGTTGAACCGCGCTGCATAGAAATGGACGGAATCGACCCTACGCTGAGCGCAATCATCTCACTAGCACCATTAGCTGCATTCTTGATTGTAATGTTGAGAGACTGAATCATATTCATTCCTCCGTCTGCATCACTCAGCACTGCAGCGGGTGACACAATGCTCACAGCAGGTCCTTCCTCGGTGAACGATGTGGAATAGTTGATGGACTGGTTTCCCAGCTGCAGCTGCGGCGCATGGTCGTTGACATACACGATGGAGATCGATACAGTACTGATGGGGGAGTTGGATAGGCCATCATTGACACTAACTGTGACCTTGCGTACAGTGGACAGGGGCTCATCAGCTACACTGATAAACTGGATATCTTGTAACAGACTCTGATATTGCACCACACTAGCCACACCACTGATTATTATCTGGTGACTACCTGAGCCGGAAACCGATAACGTGGCCGGAATGGTGCCACTCAGCCGTAAAGAGTCTGATGAGGGAGCTGCAAGTCCACTGTCGAGCATCAGCCGAGCAGTCAGACTATACAGTGGGAATGTGTCCTCATCAGACACGGTCAGAGTACTGAAGATGGTCACCGGTCCTCCGTTCTCTCTAAACACAGTGCTGGCTTGTGTGGGTGAAATGACTGGTGAGTTGTCATTGACATCCTGAACAATAATACTAAGATTAGCTCTGCCATTACGCTGCGGTGTACCGTTGTCTTGAGCTCGGAGAGCCAGCTGGTACGAAGCAGTCGTTTCTCTATCCAACTGGCCCAGCAGTTCAACAGAACCGCGTAGTGCATTGATAACAAAGTGTCCCTGTGCATTGCCGGACACTATGCTATAGGAGAGGAGAGCATTGCTGGTGTCATCATCATCGCTAGCTGTGACTGTGATCAGAATGCTGCCAGCCGTGGTGTTCTCTGGGACTGTGATACTGTACTGGGCTGGTTCAAACACTGGTGAGTTGTCATTGATGTCCGTTAGAGTCACAGTCACCTGCACAGTGCTGTTGAGTGATGGAGAACCACCATCCATGGCTACAGCGTTGAACACAAACACGGACTGGGTGTCGTAGTCCAAGCCTGGTGCAGCCACAGTCAGCGATCCCGTTGTGGTATTGATACTGAATGGTATGGACGTGTTGGTGAGTACGTACGTTATGACAGCATTGCTGCCAGCATCTCTGTCGATGGCCTCCAACCGGCCCACTTCCAAACCAGCTGACAAATCCTCCGCTACCGTGTATGAATAGGACGACTGCCTGAACACTGGAGTGTTATCGTTCACATCTGCTACCGTTATGTCCAGCATTGTGCTGCCGCTCATCTGTGGTATTCCACCGTCCACAACCGCAATGGATAAGCGGTAACTGGCAACCAGCTCACGGTCCAGGAGACCAACCAGTACAATGTTGCTGCTAGTTGGTTCGGTGTTGAAGCGACCCAAGACATTGCCACCTGTGATGGAGTAGGTGAGCACAGCATTGTTACCAACATCAGCATCAGTAGCATGCAGCGTGTACACCACAGATCTCAGGTCCATGTTCTCCAGAACGGTGACAGAGTAGAGTGTCTGGTTGAACACGGGCGGATTGTCATTCTTATCGTCGATGCTGATCGTGACGGACACGACTGAGCTTGCCGGAGGCTGGCCCTGATCTGTAGCCCGCACTGCAAATGTGTATGACGGTGTGCGCTCTCGATCTAGACTTCCATTCACAAAGATGTCACCAGACACAGCGCCAACAAAGAACGGTGCACTACCAGCAATGTTAAGTTGGTATCTGATGACAGCATTGCTACCTCTATCATCGTCGACGGCAACAACCTGCAGAACAGATGTACCAGCACTGCTGTCCTCCAGTACTGAACCGCTGTATGATGGCAAGGAAAAACGAGGTATCTGGTCATTCGAATCCAGCACAGTTATACTCAGCGTGGTGCTGCCGACAAGCTGGGGAATACCCCTATCGTGAGCGTCTGCTGTGATGGTGTAACTGCTAATGTTCTCCCGATCCAGTGAAGAGACTAGTCTCACAGTACCTGTTTGCTGGTCCACAGAGAATGGTGTCTGGCCACGCAAGCTATACACTATCTCAGCATTAGTACCAGAGTCAGCATCCGTAGCGGTGATGTTCAGTATGGCCATGCCTGTGACAGCGCTCTCAAACACTCTAGCCGAGTACTGCGGAGAAGAGAACACAGGAGCGTTGTCGTTGAAGTCATCCAGGAATACTGCTACCGTGGTGTCGCCGTGCAGAGGTGGTGATCCACCGTCAGTGGCCCGAATGACAAGATTGTACCCGAACGGGCGTGTGTCGTAATCCAGTGATTTGGCCACAAGCAGTACACCGGTGGAGGGAGTGATATTGAATACATCACCGGTGTTTCCCCTCACGATAGTGTACTGGCTAACTACTCCGCCGACACCCGTATCAGCATCCGTAGCATTCATCGTGATCACAGGATGGCCAATCATGGCGTTCTCCAACACCCGACGGGTATATAGTGCTGCACTAAACGCAGGCGGATTGTCGTTGACATCCATCACAGACACCGTGATCAGTGCCGTGCTGCCCGGACCAGTCACACCACCGTTTGATGCCAATATCTGGAGACGATACGTCGGCTGGGTTTCAAAGTCGAGAGTCCTAGCCAAACTGAGAATTCCTGACATTGCCTGCAGCTGAAACACATCTCCTGTGTTGCCGGATGTAATGCTGTATTGGATACGGCGAGGAGATAGTCCACCGTCTGGGTCGGTGGCCAGTACAGACAAGAGCGAGGTGGCAAGGGTAGCATTCTCCGCCACATCAAGTTGATACGATGCAGTCACAAACACTGGTGGTTCATCGTCAATATCAGTAATGTTGATCAGAACAGTGCAGTTTGCAGTTAGCGGGATAGCTCCCATGTCAGACACTGTTACCAAGAGTTTGTACATTGTCAGTGACTCATAGTCAACTGGTCCTGCCAAGCGGATGACACCCGTAGTGGCATTGATAACAAACGTTGAGTTGATATTGCCTGAACTGATACTGTACGTCAGCTGCGCATTCTTATCGATGTCATTATCCTGGGCGGTGACTGACAGCACAAACAGACCAGTCGCTGACCGTTCTGCAATGGATGCCGAATACACAGGGTTGGTGAACATTGGTGGGTTGTCGTTGGCATCGAGGACATTCACAACAACCATCCCATAGGCGATGAACACTCCGTCTGTCACAGAAACATTGAGTATGATGGAGCTCACTGATTCCCTGTCAAGCTTCATGTTGAGCCGAACATCACCTGATGAACTAACCAACATAGCGCCAGGAAGGGATGAGGAAACAAGATTGAATACTAGTGGTGATACAACTGTGTCAACATCGTTGGTGACCAGTTGTCCGACTGACACAGGAACCCCACTTGCCTCACTCACATTGATAACTAAACGAAGTGGTGACAAGACTGGTGCATTGTCATTCACATCTCCGACATTAACCGTGACGTTAGCCGTCGATGATAGGGTTAGATTATGTAAGTCTGTGACTTGAGCAACTACAGTCAGCATGACTTGGCGATCAGCTTCAAAGTCCAGCGGACGTTGCAGAGTCACTGCACCACTTGTCTTGTCTACACTCCACTGTCCTGTGAGTGGAGCACTCAGAGAATACGTAACTGGACCTTTGATCAGTGGATCACCGCTGACTGCTTGCACCATCACTACAAACGTACCTACAGTGGAGTTTTCCAGTAGCGTTGTTGTGTAGGGCAGACTCTGGAAGATAGGGGTGCCATTAGGTTTTGGCAAGACATTGACTAGCAATATAACCTGGCTTGCCATCACAGTAGTAGTGCCTTGGTCTGATGCTGTGACAGTCAGGCGATACAATGGAGCAACAGAGTAGTTAAGATTCCCCGAAACAGTCACCAGCCCCGTTGTTTGGTCGATCATAAACGGAGCCGAGGTCACTGCAATGCTATAGACAACATCACCATTGCTGCCAACGTCGCTGTCTGTAGCCGTCAGAGTAATGAGTGGGTACCCTATGCCAACATCTTCTCGCAGCGATGCATTGTAGTCGGGCTGTTCAAACACAGGACGGTTATCATTGATGTCGGTGATAACGAAGACAAGCGTGGCTGTGGCGGACATGCTGGGAACACCACTGTCCGTGGCTTGTACCACTGTGGTGTACAGTGCTGCGGTCTCTCGATCAAGTGTTTGATTCAGCTGGAGAACTCCACTTCTGCTAATGGTGAACACGCTACTACCATTCCCAGAAATTAGCTCAAAGTCAGACACAACAGCGTTGAGGCCCGAGTCATGAAGATCAGATGCTGAAACAGATCCAATCTGCGAGCCAGTTGCGAGGTTTTCCGGAACTGGATAAGTGTAAATTGGCTGGGAAAACACTGGTGGAAAATCGTTGATATCCAGGATGGTAACAGTGACAGTAGTTGTGGTTCTATTAGCGGCAACGAGAGTAGAGTTGCTGTGACTCAGGGCTGCTACCGTGAGGTTGTATGTAGACTGTGACTCACGGTCTATGTCAGCAAGTACAGCGATCACTCCAGTCGATGACTTGATCGTGAAGAGGCGCTGATCTCCAGTGACAATACTGTACGTAATGGCAGAGAATGGATCGATGTCTGCAGCTGAAACAGTGACAACGGGCGTACCGGGGCTAGAATGCTCACGCACACTAGCTTGGTACAGAGACAGTAGAAAGTGTGGTGCATGGTCGTCCACATTGGTCACATCAATGACAACTGACGTCGTGCCTGTCATCCTGGTTGGACTGCCGTTGTCCCATGCTCTCACAGTGAATCGATGCTGCACCTGCGACTCGAAATCCAATGACGATGTGGTAGATATTGTGCCTGTGGTGCTGTTAATGCTGAATGCCATGCTGCTTGAGGATGGTACAATCTCGAACAGTATGCGGGCATTCTCACCACTATCAGCATCAGTTGCCTGCACTTGGAGTAGAGACGACGATATTGCAATAGCCTTGGGGCATACAGACAAGAAAACGACATACATATCATCGAGTTTTAGTAGAAGCCAAGTGACAACAAACTCCTTTCTACTTGAGTACACTATTCCGTGCATGTTGATTTGTCACATGCGTGAGCTAGTTGAGTGTACACACACTGCGCCAGTATCTTCTATATTAAAACAGTATCACTCATTTCAACCCCTTTCATTCAATACCTGCTTTTCCTCTGAGGATTTCGCTATCTTTGAAATATGGAACGAAACAGGACTTGTCAGTAGAAACTTCTAGCTGTTGTGGAGTGGGGCTGGTGAACTGTTCGTGCCGGTGTCTGCAAGCGTTGTGTGGTCTTGTCTGGTCACAAGAAAATCTACCACTGCTATGAATTGACGGATCAAAAAAAGATGGCATTGAAAAATTGGTCGCTGCTTGAATGACGACTACACCGTAACAAAGTGGTTAGAGTATCGCTGGCATTTAGCCAAGGATCCTTGTTTGAGTCCTGGTAGTGATCTTGTCTTCAGATCTTTATTTTTCATTCCCTCAAACTTATCAATACTAGATACTAAAATTAATACTGTATCTTTCTCGAGATTGCCCTACAGTATATGTGTAAACAATGCAGAGCAATGGTGTTGAGCCAACACACAGAGCCATTGAACACTCACCTCTGACACAGAGACATGATACAGAGGTGCTGAGAACCGAGGTGGATTGTCGTTCTTATCGTCGATGCTGATTGTTACTGACACGACTGAGCTGGTCGGTGGCTGGCCCTGATCTGTAGCACGCACTGCGAATGTGTATGACGGTGTGCGCTCTCGATCTAGACTTCCATTCACAAAGATGTCACCGGACACAGCACCAACAAAGAACGGTGCACTACCAGCAATGTCAAGGTGATATCTGATGACAGCATTGCTACCTCGATCATCATCGATGGCAACAACCTGCAGAACAGATGTACCAGCACTGCTGTCCTCCAGTACTGAACCGCTGTATGATGGCAAGGAAAAACGAGGTATCTGGTCATTCGAATCCAGCACAGTTATACTCAGCGTGGTGCTGCCGACAAGCTGGGGAATACCCCTATCGTGAGCGTCTGCTGTGATGGTGTAGCTGCTAATGTTCTCCCGATCCAGTGAAGAGACTAGTCTCACAGTACCTGTTTGCTGGTCCACAGAGAATGGTGTCTGGCCACGCAAGCTGTACACTATCTCAGCATTAGTACCAGAGTCAGCATCCGTAGCGGTGATGTTCAGTATGGCCATGCCTGTGACAGCGCTCTCAAACACTCTAGCCGAGTACTGCGGAGAAGAGAACACGGGAGCGTTGTCGTTGAAGTCATCCAGGAAAACTGCTACTGTGGTGTCGCCATGCAGAGGTGGTGATCCACCATCAGTGGCCCGAATGACAAGATTGTACCCGAACGGGCGTGTGTCGTAATCCAGTGACTTGGCCACAAGCAGTACACCGGTGGAGGGAGTGATATTAAAGACATCACCCGTGTTTCCCCTCACGATAGTGTACCGGCTAACCACTCCACCGACACCGGTATCAGGATCCGTAGCATGCATCGTAATCACCGGATGGCCGATGATGGCATTCTCCAACACCCGGCGTGTATATAGTGCCGCACTAAACGCAGGCGGATTGTCGTTGACATCCATCACAGACACAGTGATCAGTGCCGTGCTTCCCGGACCAGTCACGCCACCGTTTGATGCAAACACCTGGAGACGATACGTCGGCTGGGTTTCAAAGTCGAGAGTCTTAGCCAAAGTGAGAATTCCTGACATTGCCTGCAGCTGAAACACATCGCCTGTGTTGCCGGATGTAATGCTGTATTGGATACGCGAAGAAGATAGCCCGCCGTCTGGGTCGGTGGCCAGTACAGACAAGAGCGAGGTGGCGAGGGTAGCATTTTCCACCACGTCAAGTTGATACGATGCTGTCACAAACACTGGTGGTTCATCGTCAATATCAATGATGTTGATCAGAACAGTGCAGTTTGCAGCTAGCGGGATAGCTCCCATGTCAGACACTGTTACCAAGAGTTTGTACATTGTCAGTGACTCATAGTCAACTGGTCCTGCCAAGCGGATGACACCCGTAGTGGCATTGATAACAAACGTTGAGTTGATATTGCCTGAACTGATACTGTACGTCAGCTGCGCATTCTTATCGATGTCATTATCCTGGGCGGTGACTGACAGCACAAACAGACCAGTCGCTGACCGTTCTGCAATGGATGCCAAATACACAGGGTTGGTGAACATTGGTGGGTTGTCGTTGGCATCGAGGACATTCACAACAACCATCCCATAGGCGATGAACACTCCGTCTGTCACAGAAACATTGAGTATGATGGAGCTCACTGATTCCCTGTCAAGCTTCATGTTGAGCCGAACATCACCTGATGAACTAACCAACATAGCGCCAGGAAGGGATGAGGAAACAAGATTGAATACTAGTGGTGATACAACTGTGTCAACATCGTTGGTGACCAGTTGTCCGACTGACACAGGAACCCCACTTGCCTCACTCACATTGATAACTAAACGAAGTGGTGACAAGACTGGTGCATTGTCATTCACATCTCCGACATTAACCGTGACGATAGCTGTGGATGATAGGGTTAGATTCTGTAAGTCTGTGACTTGAGCAACTACAGTCAGCACGACTTGGCGATTAGCTTCAAAGTCCAGCGGACGTTGCAGAGTCACTGCACCACTTGTCTTGTCTACTCTCCACTGTCCTGTGAGTGGAGCACTCAGAGAATACGTAACTGGACCTTTGATCAGTGGATCACCGCTGACTGCTTGCACCATCACTACAAACGTACCTAGGGTGGAGTTTTCCAGTAGTGTTGTTCTGTAGGGCAGATTCTGGAAGATAGGGGTGCCATTAGGTTTTGGCAAGACATTGACTAGCAATATAACCTGGCTTGCCATCACAGTAGTAGTGCCTTGGTCTGATGCTGTGACAGTGAGGCGATACAATGGAGCAACAGAGTAGTTAAGATTCCCTGAAACAGTCACCAGCCCACTTGCTTGGTCGATCATAAACGGAGCTGAGGTCACTGCAATGCTATAGACAACATCACCATTGCTGCCAGCGTCGCTGTCTGTAGCCGTCAGAGTGATGAGTGGGTACCCTATGCCAACATCTTCTCGCAGCGATGCATTATAGTCGGGCTGGTCGAACACAGGACGGTTATCATTGATATCTGTGATAACGAAGACTAGCGTGGCTGTGGCGGACATGCTGGGAACACCACTGTCCGTGGCTTGTACCACTGCGGTGTACAGTGCTGCGGTCTCTCGATCAAGTGTTTGATTCAGCTGGAGAACTCCACTTCTGTTAATGGTGAACACGCTACTACCATTCCCAGAGACTAGCTCAAAGTCAGACACAACAGCGTTGAGACCTGAGTCGTGACGATCAGATGCTGAAACAGATCCAATCTGCGAGCCAGTTGCGAGGTTTTCCGGAACTGGATAAGTGTAAATTGGCTGGGAAAACACTGGTGGAAAATCGTTGATATCCAGGATGGTAACAGTGACGGTAGTTGTGGTTCTATTAGCGGCAACGAGAGTAGAGTTGCTGTGACTCAGGGCTGCTACCGTGAGGTTGTATGTAGACTGTGACTCACGGTCTATGTCAGCAAGTACAGCGATCACTCCAGTCGATGACTTGATCGTGAACAGACGCTGATCTCCAGTGACAATGCTGTACGTAATGGCAGAGAATGGATCGATATCTGCAGCTGAAACAGTGACAACAGGCGTACCGTTGCTAGAATGCTCACGCACACTAGCTTGGTACAGAGACAGTAGAAAGTGTGGTGCATGATCGTCCACATTGGTCACATCAATGACAACTGACGTCGTGCCTGTCATCCTGGTTGGACTGCCGTTGTCCCATGCTTTCACAGTGAATCGATGCTGCACCTGCGACTCAAAATCCAATGACGATGTGGTAGATATTGTGCCTGTGGTGCTGTTAATGCTGAATGCCATGCTGCTTGAGGATGGTACAATCTCGAACAGTATGCGGGCATTCTCACCACTATCAGCATCAGTTGCCTGCACTTGGAGTAGAGGCGACGATATTGCAATAACCTTGGGGCATACAGACGAGAGAACGACATACATATCATCGAGTTTTAGTAGAAGCAAAGTGACAAAAACCCTCCTTTCTACTTGAGTACACTATTCCGTGCATGTTGATTTGTCACATGCGTGAGCTAGTTGAGTGTACACACACTGCGCCAGTATCTTCTATAAAACAGTATCACTCAATTCAACCCCTTTCATTCAATACCTGCTTCTCCTCTGAGGAGTTCGCTATCTTAATTAAGATGGAACGAAACAAGACTTGTCAGTAGCAACTTCTAGCTGTTGCGGAGTGTGGCTGGTGAACTGTTCGTGCCGGTGTCTGAAAGCGTTGTGTGGTCTTGTCTGGTCACAAGAAAATCTACCACTGCTATGAATTAACGGATGTAATAAAGATGGCATTGAAAAATTGGTCGCTGCTTGAATGACGACTACACCCGTAACTAAGTGGTTAGAGTATTGCTGGCATTTAGCCAAGGATCCTTGTTTGAGTCCTGGTAGTGATCTTGTCTTCATCAGATTTTTATTTTTCATTCCCTCAAACTTATTAATACTAGATACTAAAATTTATACTGTATCTTTCTCGAGATTGCCCTACAGTATATGTGTAAACAATGCAGAGCAATGGTGCTGAGCCAACACACAGATCCATTGAACACTCACCTCTGACACAGAGACATGATACAGAGGTGCTGAGAACCGAGGTGGGTTGTCGTTCACGTCGAGAATGTCTATCAGCAAGCTCTCGCTTCTGTCGTGTGCCGGCGTGCCAGCATCCCTGGCCTGTACGAGCAGTGTGAATCTGGCCCGTGTTTCGCGATCCAAACCATTGCTGACTCTCACAGCACCAGTCGCCGGGTCAATCTCAAACGACGCGTTATCGTTGCCACTCAGTATGGAGTAGAGAACAGTACCATTGCTACCATTATCCGTGTCTTGTGCAAATACTCGTGTTACCAGCGTACCCACTGCACTTGCTTCAGACACATTGACAGTGCTCAACGCAGGGACGAACCGCGGGAAGTTATCGTTGATGTCCAGAATGGCTATGTCAATAAAGGCAGGAGTGACGGCTTGACGAGATGGTGACGCCATTTCAGTAGCATGGACAAAGAAACTGTACTGGGTTGTAGTCTCGCGATCCAGAGGCCCGGACACTGAGACGATTCCGGTCGAAGAAACTTGGAACGGGACAGATGAATTGATGCTGTACACCACATTGTCACCGTCACCGTCCGATGCAGACACCTGCACAACACTGTGACCAACCCTGGCATTCTCATCAACAGCTAGACCCGTAAACACAGTCCTAGTAAACATAGGGAGGTGATCATTGACGGGCACGACTGTGATAGTGGACTGTTGCAGGCTGCTCATTACCAATCCATCACTCAAAGATACCTGGACTTGGCGTGGCAGGAGAGAGTTGGGCTCCAGCGCCAAGTTGTTGTACTGCAGACCATGCAAAAATTTGCTGGCACTGATGAGAGGCAGACTGGGAGAGAATGTATACTGCACAGATAGGCCAGATATGGAGCGTGCTGTGTTTGTCGTTGTGGCTTGAACCACCGGGTCGGATGCAATCAAGACCTCGCTCACTCCATCTTCCACACCCGTTACCTGTACAAAGACGGTAGCAATGCCTGGACTATCAGCGTCATATGCAGACACTCCAGTGGGTAGAATGACAACGGGGCCCTTCTCCTCAACAAATGTGACAGCAAATGGAAATAGCCCAGCCGGCTGGATCTCAGGAGGATCATTGACAGCAATGACTGTGATGAGAGCTTCGGCTGAGTTGCTACTGGTACCTTTGTCATCAAACACATGCATTATCACCCGCCGTAGTGTAGTGTCTGGATTTTCATTGGAGTTGTAATAGACAATGGTTTTCATTGCCACAGCGTACTGATCCACATGGGCCTGTCCCAGGATTGACAATGTGCCGCGTGCCATGTTATAGTTAAATGTCAATGCACTGTTACTGATATTCATGCGTAGACCTTCCGTTGCACCGTTGGGACGTGGAGAGAGGCTGAATGTAGCCTGCGTCATGTTAACGCTGTCGACATCGTGAAGGGATAACTTTGAGGATACGACCGCAACACCACTGTCACCTTCTGTGAAACTGACTAGATATCTACGGGTAACGCCCAGGCCGGAGATATCAAGGAGCGGCGCATCATTCAGGCTTCTCACTTTCACAAAGACAAGGATACTACTGATAGCAAGGCCATCACTAGCTATGATCAGTACGGCACGTACACCAGCTGTTGGCATTGCATCATCGGTGTGCTGATATGTCAGAGTTTTGAGCACGTCCACGAAATCGCTTCGCAGAGCCGGGCCCACCAGAGATAGAGTGTTGGTGCCATACTGAACGCGAATGCCAGGTCTGTTTGTAGAGACATTCAACAGCTCCATCGCACCATCAGGCGAGGTCTGAAGCGAAATCGTCACGGACAGTGCAGTGGTGTTGTCATTGTCGGTTAACGACAAACCTGTTGGTAGTAGCAGAAGTGGCGGCGAGCCCTCTGTGAAGGTAAGGTTGTTCTCACCGATGAGTTGTAGCACTGGCGGATCGTTGATGTGTATGATCGTGACGAAGGTGGACGCGACAGGGCTGACCAGGGTGCCATCGCTTGCTGAAAAGCTGATCACGCGCACGGCCGGCATGCTAGGCTCAATGGCAGTATTGTCATACTGTACAGTTTGCAACACCTGCTCAAAGTCAGTGAACAGTGCAGGACCAACAAGCCTCAACGAGCTGGCTGAAGTTTGGATAATGGAGACTTGCCCACTAGCAGTTGCGGACAGTTTCTCATTGGTACCATCACGTGGCAATACCACAGACACATTTACATGGTCAATACGCACCACACCAAAGTCCGCATCAGATATTTTCACAGACGCCGATGTTGCCCTCACTGGTCCGTGCCTCTCAATGTAAAGTGTGGCAAAGTTCAGACTTGCATTGCCGTCCGTTGAATCAAGATCAATGACTGGCCGTCTATCATTCACAGCGACAATCTGCACGCTGGCGACTACCATGGGACTGTAGAAACGGCCGTCGTAGAGCTGAATCTGAATGTGGCGCGTGGCAAGATCAGGCTCTGTTTGTGCATTGTAATAACCAGTGGAGCGTATGGCTGTTTGAATGCCGACCAGTGTGCTGTCAACGTATTCTACTGTCCTGCCTGCATTAGATCTGCTAACAGTACGGGTTGGTGACGAGGCAGAGTTAGCCACGGGGATTAGCCACTCATCACAGCTGCTTACACATGCCAGGGATGCCGCGGCTACAGCATGCGGGGCATAGAAAAATCCAGACAGCTCGCCCAGGAACGTGGCGGAAATGCCGGAGCTAAGAGCATCTGAGCCGAGGTGCAGCAGTGCATTGCTTGGCAGAGGTTGGAGTGGGCTAGAGAGTGTGGCTGTGGCAGATGGCAGCAGTCCAGTTGCACCATCGACATGGAGGAACACATTCGGGTACGACATCACAACAGCAATGTGCTGCCACTGATTCGTTCTCAATGAAACGGCAGGGAATGTTACTGTAGTGTCACTGCTTGATCCAGCTCCTCCAGCTGTTTGGTATGTGATGGTCATGGTGGATGCTGGCGTGTCGATACGCAGCGAGAAATACTGCTTTGCTCCATCAGACAGGGAGAACAGTGGCGCAGTCACATGGCTACTGATCTTGATCCACATACCAATAGTGAATGAGTTAGTCAGTTGTATAGAGGCTGCCGCTGTGTTGGCTGATTGTCCCTGGGCGACAAGCCGTAGAGTAGCGGAGTCAGCAGTTAGAGCTGCACCAGCAACAAGTCGAGCACTGGAAAGAACATTCCCAGTACTAGTGTTAACATTGCACTGAGCAAGCTTGTTCCATGGCAGAACAGAGTGACCACACTGCAATCCGGTGTACGGAGACACCATACCAGTACTGCTCCGTTGAAGGGTGAGAGTCGCAGTGAACTGCTGGTGAACTACATCACTGTCTGACAGTGCCAGCGATCGAGCAAACGGCACCGCAGCTCCATTCTCGGTGAAAGACGCGGTCAGTGTAGTTGGTGAAATGTTCGGAGGATTGTCATTGATGTTCAGTACAGAGAGGCGAAGAGTTGCAGTGGCCGAGTTTTGAGGGGATCCACCATCGGAAGCAATGATGCTGTATACATGGCTCATAGCTGTTTCCGCATCAAGACGTGTCATCAACTCAACAACGCCTGAGTCGGAGATGGAGAGTGCTCCTGGAGGTTGAATAGTGTATGACACCTGACTATTGGTGCCACTGTCAGCATCTGATGCCATCGCCACCGTGACCAGAGTGCCACTTGTTGAGTTCTCAAGTAGAGATGCACTGTACGACGATTGAGTGAACACGGGACGATTGTCATTCACATCATTGATTGCCACGGAGATAGTTGTGCGCGACATACGCGCTGGACTGCCCTCATCAGAAGCCTCAACATCCAACAGATAACTAGGAATAACTTCCCGGTTGAACGCAATGTTAGCTCTGAGAATTCCAGAGACAGGATCAAGAACAAATTGAGATGACTGAGCTGATGAAACAAGTCGGTATCTCACCCGTCCATTGCTACCAGCATCCAGATCATTAGCTGTGACAGTACCAATAGCAGCACCTCGAGCATTATTCTCCGTAATGTTGAATGTAAACAGGCTTGGTGAGAACAGTGGACTGTTGTCGTTGATGTCCAGGACATCAACTGTCACGTTGACGGACGCCCGCTGCTGTGGGTGCCCTTGATCGGACGCCTCCACCACAACTTGATAGGCATCAACTTGCTCCCTATCCAGAGGGGGTGTAATAGTCAACTGCCCAGAGGTGGTGTTGAGCAGAAACCTGCCACCACTGCTAACGCTCAGTACCGAGTACACTATGGCTGCATTACTGCCCACATCAGCATCAGTTGCCAGTAGCTGGACAAGTGCCATCGACGACGATATGTTTTCATAGACAGACACTTGATATGCTGGTCGCGAGAACACGGGTGCATTGTCATTCACGTCTGTGATGCGTATGTATACATTGACAACGTTTGACATGGGTGGCTGACCTTCGTCGGACGCATCAATGACTAGATTGTACTGGCTTGCGGCCTCACGGTCAATTCTACCCGCGGTCGTCACCACTCCACTACCATCCACCGTGAACTTCCCTGCCGTATTTCCGGACACAATGGAATAGATCACAGTACCGTTATTGCCAGCATCAATATCAGTTGCAAGGACACGGCCAACTTCACTGCCAGCGCTGATATCTTCGGCAATAGAGAATGAATACCTTGTGTTAGCAAACTGCGGCCTGTTGTCATTGACATCAGTGACCGTGCACGATATTGTGACCGTTGACATCATACTGGGAGAGCCCAAATCATACGCAACCGCTGTCACTGAGATTGAAGGCGCTTTCTCGCGATCCAGTTCATTGCGGATGTTCAGCACACCCGATGTGCTCAGAGATAGGTAGTTGTTCGGTGTCTGAAGACGATACTGCACAGTACCATTAGCACCGAAATCAGCATCAGTTGCCGTCACTTGCAGGATGGTGTCACCAACAGAACGACCCTCCGATACATCAATCGAATAGGATGATTGAGTAAACCGTGGAGCATTGTCGTTGATGTCGAGAATGTTGACGGTGAGTATCTGAGTTGACTGCATGGGAGGAGTGCCACGATCCCGTGCGTCAATCGTGAGCAGATACTGGGACTGCTGCTCTCTATCCACGCTGGCAGTACTTACTAGGGTGCCAGATCTTGAGCCAAGGGCAAATGGCGCGGGAGGAACATGTGATGAGACAATGTAGTAGCGCACATCAGCGTTGACACCGCTGTCACGGTCCGTGGCTCGTACAAACCCCAGGACGGTTCTCAGAGCGACGTTCTCTGTGACATTGATGACAGATGGTGATGTTATGACGGGAGCATTGTCATTGACATCCGTGATACTTACTGTTACAGTCACAACGGGTGAACTCAGAGCAGGTGATGCGAGACTGTTGGTGGCTTGTATAGTGAAGAATATGATATCAAAGTCGAGAGGAGCAGCTACCGCAATAGCACCTGTGCTTTGATTGATAGCAAACAAGCTGGCAAAGTCTCCGCTGACCTTCCTGTAGGTGATGAGACCATCGACTGCATACATGCCCGATGGTGAATCAGCATCCGTAGCAGTTATAGTATCCACCGTGAAGCCAATCTGAGTATTCTCAGCCACCGTCAAGCTGTAACTTGTCCTGGCAAACACAGGCGGATTATCATTGATCAGAGTCACGTTGACATGCGCACTTTGCTCATTGCTCTCCAGCAAACCATCCGATACACGGATGCGGACGGTGCGGACTGGCTCCGGTGTTGGCTCAACTGCAGTGTTGATGAAGGCCAGACTCGAGAGGAGTTGCTGGAATGTGCTGGCCGACTGAGGCGTTGGCGATGCAGAGAAGTCATAGCGGGCGCTCATCGTTCCATTCTGAACCATGTTTGCGAGTGTTATACCCGAAGGTAGTGTGTACTGAAGCTGCTCTGAGCCACCGTCGGGAACAGGTGATACGGTCACAGTACATGCTGCCAATGTCGTGTTGTCAACATCACTGACCCTGACTTGGCCAGGTACGACAACCAACACAGCACTGGATTGTTCAGCGTAGGTCACAGGTAGTGGCTGCCGGGATGATGTCACAAGAACCGGTGCATCGTCAACACCAATGATTGCAATACGCACAGAGCGTGTGATGCTGGTGGAAATGGAATCGTTGACCGTGACGGTAATGACTCGTTGAGTCTCCGTGGGAGCTTGTGCCGTGTTTATGTAGCGTAAAGACTGGATGAGCATGGCATAGTCACTCAATGTAGCTGATCCCACGGCGTGCAGTTCAGCTGCGGACACTTGCGTGACGGTGATGAACGAGGATGGAGCCTGTGCTGATAGAGACTCACTCCTTGCATCGAGTGGATTCGTGAGAATGATGTGTGCCGAGACCAGATGGGTGTTGTCTGCATCCAGTACCCATGCTTGTGGACACACGGGCAGTGCAGCATCACCCTCTGTGAAGCTTGCCGTGGCGTCACTGCCAGTCGCACGCCCATTCAGATCAACCAGCGGTGGATCGTTCACTGCACTGATGCTCACGAATGCTTGCACGGCATTGCTAGACTTGATACCATCGGATACAGAGAATGTAACAATGCGCTGACCGTCGGTGGGATTGCTGCCCTTGTGCGTGTAGTGTAGAGATCTCAGCAGTTGACTGTAACTAGATACGACGTCCACACCTGTAAACACAACAGCAGATGCACTCGGTGTAGCTCTTATCAAGCCACTGCCGACAGTGTAGGTAAGGAGTTCCTGACTGCCGTCCACGCCACCAGTCATGGTCACAGTGGCACTACTTAGAGATGTGTTATCGTTATCCGCTAGCTGGAAGCCAGAATCCGAGAGCTGGACAGGACCACTTCCTTCACGATAGCGCAGCGTAATGTCCCCATTCAGAGTTAGCTGCAGATTGGGAGCATCGTCGACAAGATCTATGTTGATACGTACAGTGACCGCCGTGCTGTTGTGAAGCCCGTCGTTTGCTACTATTACAACCGAGCGAGTTGCGGGGTTGGGCTCTTCGGCTGAGTTGAAGTAAGTCAGCGAGAGCAGGGCTGTTGTAAACACTGCAAAACTGGCAGGTCCAGTCAGTACCAGGGAATCGGCAGACGAGGATACGACCAAACCATTAGCCATGCTCGCCGTGATGTTCTCCGCAATGCCATCGCGCATGCCAATCAGTGATACATACACCGATGCCAGGTTCACAGCTCCAGAGTCGGGATCAGAGAGTGACAGTGCAGTAGCTGCCAGCACAGGTATGCTACCGGTGCCCTCTGTGAAGCTGACACTGGCAAACGCCGGACTCGCTGCTGATAGGGACACTCTAGGTGGATTGTCATTGATAAGATTAATGTTGAAACGGATCACAAGCGGCACACTTGCTAGTCCATCGTTCACTTGAATGATGACTTGCCGTGTGTCTGCCGTTGGTTCATTCTCGACATTCCTGAACAGAACGGATCGAAGTACTGTACCATACTGGGCAGCAGAACCTGCACCGGATATCACCATGACGCGGCTTGAATTCTGTAGGGCAACACTCAGCCTGGTTACTAGCCTAGTGGCGACAGACAGTTGATCTTGATACGGTGTCAGTGTGTTTGTTGAGGCAAGTTGAATCGTAACTGTGGCCGACACTATATCAACTAGATCCAGTTCGGTGACTGTCAGCTGCGGGGCAAGGTGAACTGCCGCTCCGGCCTCGGTGAATGTTACACTGGTGCCGGGAGAAGCTATCTGTGGTGCATTGTCATTCACATCTCCTACCTGCACAAACACGGTGACCGTTGATGACATAGCTGGCCGCCCACCGTCCTTGGCTTGAACGGTTAGAATGTAAGACGGCCTGGTCTCCCTGTCCAGCGGGGCTAGAGTTGAGAGATTACCCAGCAAGGGCTCAATGCTGAACACGCCAAGGTTATCCAGCAAAGCGAAGGACACCGTGCCGTTGGAGCCGGCATCCGGGTCATGAGCGAAGACGTCGAGACCACTCACTATACCGGCTGGTGTATTCTCAGTCACGGTGACATTGTAGCTGGTCTGTGTGAATGCAGGCGCATTGTCATTCACATCCATTAGCTTGATCAGAATCGTCGAATTACCCGAGAGCTTTGGATTGCCAAGATCGTGCACAAGTAGCGGAACAGTGTAAGATTTCTGTGTCTCGCGATCAAGAGACCGTGCAACGGTGATTAGTCCAGATGTAGCAGCAATGCGGAAAGCAGACACACTGGGGCTGAGCTGGTAACGAAGCTCGGCATTGGTAGTCGAATCAGCATCGTCTGCGGTCACAGTAAACACAGACGCGCCGGGTGATATGCTTTCACTGATTGAGACCTGATAACCGCCCTGTGGTGACACAAACATTGGTGCATTGTCGTTGTTGTCAAGCACTGAGATGGAAACTTGGGCAAAACTAGTACGCTGTACAGCTGCCAGGGTGTTAGATACGGAGATGTTTAGCATGTAGCGAGATTCGGCCTCATAGTCCAGACTTTGGGCCAGTGTCAATACTCCTGAGATGGTGTCGATGGTGAAAACTCTCACGGCTGAGCTGGTTGCAATAGCGTATCGTACCACTCGGTTCACACCACTATCTGCATCTGTTGATGACACTGTCAACAGATTGGTGGGGACTGACGTATTCTCGGGAACACTCAGTGTGTACATTGTTTGATCAGGCACAGGATTGTTATCATTCACGTCCAGGACATTGACAACGACTTGCGCATAGGCGATGAACGCACCATCACTGACGCTGACATTCAGTGTGTACCGCTGCGTGGTCTCAAAGTCTAGACTGGCTGCAAGTACTATGCTGCCCGTCGCACTCTGCACAGCAAACACACCGGGTACGCTAGCGCTTGCCAGGGCATACGTCAAGGGAAGCTTGTCGGGATCATCAGCAATAACCAGGCCAATATCAGTGTTGACTACCTGGTCCTCGGCTATGGATAATACATACATAGTCTGGTTCAACACCGGGGATTGGTCGTTTACATTCGTCACAGCTATGCGTAGCTCAGATGTTGCTGTTCTCGGAGGACTACCACCATCACTAGCAGTCAGGATCAGCACATAACTTATGCGCTGTTCATAGTCTAACGTCGTAGCAAGACTGACGGTGCCGCGTGAGGAAATGCGAAACTTCTCCGATCCAGACCCACGTATGGTGTAGGTGAGTTGACCAAACGTTCCACTGTCTGCATCCGTGGCGGTGATGGTCCTGATCACGGTGTTTGCTGCTGTCGACTCCGCAACTGTCAGCGAGGTGACGGTTTGCTGGAATACTGGAGAATTATCATTCACATCTTGAATGTTGACATCCAGCGTGGTGTTGCCAAGCTGCACTGGCACACCGCTGTCCATTACAAGAAGCACCAGCTTGTATGCAGTACGTGCCTCATAGTCCACTGACTTTGCCAAACGAACGAGTCCAGACGTTCTGTCTACAGAGAAGACATTGTCAGTATTGCCGGTGGAGATTACGTAGGTCAGTTGACTGTTCACTCCGGGACCGTCGGCATCCCGTGCAGACAGCTGCAGAACCTGTGAGCCCACGATTGCAGACTCTGCTACCAGCACAGGATTCATGTGTGCTTGAAACACTGGAGCATTGTCATTGGCATCGCTGACCAGTACGCGCACTGTGCCCTTGCTGCAGAGACGCGGAACCACTGGGTTGCACACGCTCACAGTGAGATCGTAGGACGGAGTGGTCTCATGATCCAGTGGTCTGCGTGTTGCCACTACTCCGGCCACGCTCACTGCAAAGTCATTGTCATCGTCACCCGCGACTAGACTGTACTCTAAGAACGCATTAGAACCGGTGTCAAGATCCGATGCTGACAGAGTGGTTACTCGGTGTCCTGCTGGTCGATTCTCAGGGACAGTGAACTGGGAGAGCAGTGGTGTCAGCACTGGGGCATTATCATTGATGTCAGTCAGTGACACAGCAAGGGTAGCATTTGCACGAAGAGCACTCGACAAGTCTGCGCCGTTATCGGTTACATGGACAAACAAGGCATACGTCGCCACACGCTCTCGATCCAGAGTGCGTGCCACCGACACAAACCCGGACGCGTCGATGGCAAAGTCGGCACTGTTTGTGCCGCCTAGTGAGTAGGCTAATGTCCGTGACAGCAATCTCTTGTCGGTCACCACTGCTCTTGCCACAGCCGTGCCGACTGCTACTGGCTCCGTGAACGTACGTAGTGCTGGGCTAGCCTGCAGCGACAGGCATGTACCGGCACACGCCACGCACTCGGCGCTGCGGTCGGGATACTTGTCAGCGGGGCAGCTCGCCACGCAGGCTCCACTGTCTTTGAAATGCGTACAACTCTGCAGAGAACAAGACATGCACAGCACACAATACTATCACTTGCGTACACACCAATACATGCCATGTACTAGTATGAGCAACATGTAGTTCAACATCACATTAGGTCAGCAAATTGGTCTAGAACATGGTAGCAACACAAACGTTTCAGCCTGTAAATGTGCATGCATGCAGGGCGAGCGAGGGGAGGGGGGGGGGGGGTGGCGGCAATCAGCCATGTGGTGTAGACCAGGCTAACATTTGTTATCAGCCTTGCAAGCTGTTGAATGTTGTAATCCCAGCACAAGTTTCCTATGTCTAACATGCCTTGTTTGCTATCATCGTTTCAGCGTTGGGCAGGTGTAAGTGTGTGTAAGGGGGAGGGGGGGGGGCTTGTATATACAGTCAACTTAGCGAAAAACGAGTGCGGATATAGCGACAATTTGCGAATAATGACAGAATTTCCATGCCAAGAGCAAAGTCCCATCTAACCGCAAACATTTTACTTCGGATACTACGACTATCTGAGTAACGACAAAAGAATGTAGTGTGACCACGGCTTCCATCCAATACTTCAACTTATTTCACCACAGTCCTGAAGAATGGTACACAAATAATGTAGCTGGAAAATTACATAATGATCCAGTCCTTACCACACATGCACTCGGTCCTGCACCCGAACATCCAGCTGAAGAGCACTGCGTATGACACGGTTGACATCCCCTCGGATTGGCGAGGTCGTAGAATCCCGTCAGACAACTCTGGCACTGCAGACCATCCACATTCGCCTTGCAGTAGCACTGGCCGGTGAGCGCTTGACACGAACTGTTACCAGCGATCGTACCAACTGTATTACACGAACAAGCTTGACAGCCGTCCGCATTTCTCAAGGCCAGGTTATAGTATCCACTGGTGCATGTATCGCATTGCCGACCGGTGACGCGGGATTTGCAGGCGCACTGTCCAGAGTCGGCCGATGCCAGATCCCCACGACGACAATCACCACCATTCGTTATACCGGCAGCAAAGCAATTGCATGGCTGACATGCAGAGACGCTGGTGAGATCAGTGGAGCTAGGATGGTAGTAGTTCGTGATGCAGGACTCGCACTGTGTCCCGGTTGTAAAGTGCTGGCACGATTCGCAGACACCGCGACCCAGTGCCGAGCTGTACTGGCAACTGCTGGAGTGATTGTTGCAGGTGCACGCCTCGCACGGATTAGACCGTGCAACGGTGCCCGCTAGCCATGGCCGATTGTTGTAGAGTGGCTGGCAGAACTGGCATGACGATCCAGCCGTGTTGTGCTGGCAGTTGCACACCGATCCGCTACAGGTACTCGCATGGCCATTACATACACACGGTTTACCAGTCACAACCCAATCACTGACAGCATAATACTGGTCACTCGTGCACCGCGAGGTCACATGACTAGTGAGTAGCCGTGCACGCAAGTGTGTGGC